AAGGAAGTATTAAATCACTGACCACCAGAAGATGGGGCAGGAGGCAAAGATGTGTCTGCCTTCTTAGGAACTTGCTCAGGTCCTAATTCCCCCTCCTGAAGTAGAGGCAGCTGCTCCTGCTCTCTGCCCAGCAGGGAACAGGGAGCACAGAGGGGCTGGGGGTCTCCTTGAGAGCCCAGAGACAGCCCTGCATGAAGAAGTCTCTGGTTCCCAGGGCTGCTTGCAGACTCTGCTATCAAATCTCTCCCAGGACTTGCACAAATCACCGGGGTCTCCTGCCAAAACTTTGCAGCACTCTGGGCAGGATTGCAGCGTGGGATCACACAGCTCCCTGCCCTGAGCTGCTGCCAAGGCCCTGCCAGCTGGGATGGGAGCTGCAGGCTCAGCCCGAGCAGAACAGAACTGTCTCTGCATCCAGAGTTAACACTCCAGCAAATGTCCCATCCTGGAAAGGTTCAAGGCCAGGAACAGCCTGGGGTAGTGGAAGGTGTCCCTGCCCATGGGAATGAGATGGGCTGAAAGGTCCTTCCAACTCAAACTCTTCTAGGGCTTCTTCTTCCAGGGTAGGATTTTATTAAATAAAGGTGACAAGTTGCTGGCTGCAGGGGTGAGGTTTGGTGAGGAGCCTCGCTGCTATGTGGCTGCTAAATCCAAAACCTCCTGGAGCTCCAGGCAGCCCTGTGGCTGAGAAAGCCCAGATTGTGCTGTGCATGGCCAAGAATAAGATTATTCTTTTTTAAATATCCTGATTTAGATATTTCCATCTCCAAGAAGAGGAGAGTGGGGCAGGGCCATGCTCAGCCCCTGCAGGTCCAGCAGCTCCCAGTGAGTTACACAAGCCACAGCCTCTCCTCACACCTTGCAGTGCTGGAGGCACATGTGACAGATGACAGCACTGGGAGAATGTCCTTTAATCACTCCTGTTCTCACTGTCACCATCAGCAATTATGGCATTTGCTTTAAAGCTGTCAGGATTTCAAAACAAGCCCGGGGTGGTCAGATTGACAAAGCCTCCAGGGCTGCCTGGTATGGCATCCTGCCTGGAGTGCAGATCAGGGACATTGCTCAGTGCTGAGGGATGGCTGGGGAATCTCTCCTGGACCCCGAGACCAGCCCTGTGGGGCCTGACAAGGCTTGTGCTGTGCCCTGGGAGGCTGCCTTGCACAAGGTGTTGCACAGAGCAGGTGTTTCAGGCACTGGAGGCTCCAAAGCCACACCTGGCGTGGGGTGCTCCTGCCTTTGCTGCTCCTTCTGCTGCTGGATTTTGGTTGCCTGGAGCCCCTGCCCTGCCTGGTGAGGAAACACAGAGATATTTCCAGCTCTGCAGAAGGGAAAGGAGTGGGGACATTGCTCTGGAGGGGCTCTGAGGCAGCAATGGAGGCAAATGCTCCCATTTGGCTGAGCAAGGCACATCAACATTAGCACATCTCCTGCTGCTCTTGTTATTTCTTCCTGACCACAATTTGTGAAACAGCTTCCCAGCCAGGCAGAGGACAGATTCCTGCTCTATGGAGCCAGGAAGGAGAGGGATTATCTGACTGTTCAGCATTAGCAAAGCTCCCAGGTCACCTGCTTGTGGTTTTATACCTGGAAGCAGGAAATTGCAGCACTGGATTTGAAGTACCAAAAGCTAAGGATGGCAGTGGGATGGAGCCTGTCCAGGCAGCTCCAGGGCCTTCCTGGGCATGGACAGGGTGCTGCAGCAGGGCAACACCAAGCCAAAATGCCTGAATTCCCTTCCTGACTCGCCCTCTGCCTCACTCTGAGGATGCAGCAAAGTCATTTGTCTCCATCCACCCCAGGGCTCTGACTCACTGGTGCTGAGCCAACAGCAGTGGGGCTGTGGGATGCCAGCACTCCCACCTCATCCTCCCTGCCCTGCTGCTGCTGCCCCTCTGCCCACAGCAGCCAAAGCAGTAAATAAACACCTGTGGCCCTGAACCACAGTGGCTGTAATTGGTGTCTCTTAAAAAAATCCCTCGTCAGCAGCCGTTCAGGTGGAAATCTCAATCCAAAATGCCACAGGACAGAGCAGAGCAGCCTCAAGTTAAGCAACTGGATTCTCCTACACTCACCTGCCAGAGTCCCCTTTTCCCAGTTTTTGGCAGCAGGAGCAGCAGAGCTGCCTGCCCAGCCTGGCAGCTGGGTCATGAAACCACTGGTTCAGCCCCTGTGAACAGTGCAGCTCCTGCTCCATCCCTCAACTTGGGACACTCTGGGACAGTGGAAAGTGCCCAGGGGGTGGCACTGGATGGGTTTTAATATCCCTCCCAACACACACCATCTGGGATTGTGGTTCCACTGCCCGCTCTCAGCTGTCCCAGTGAGATCCCCGGTACCCAGCACCTGCCCCAGGGGGACAGAGAGGCAAAGGAGCTGGGATGAGGCTGGAAAAACCTTTACAATGATCAAGCCCAGCACTGCCGCTGAGTTCATCGCTGACCCGTGTCCCCAAGTGCCACATCCACACTGCTTTGGAGCACCTCCAGGGATGGAGACTCCACCACTGTCCTGGGCAGCCCATTACAATGCTTTACAATCTTTCTGTGAAGAAAAAGTCTCTAATTTCCAAACCAAACATCCCCTGGAGCAACTTGAGGCTGTTTCTTCTTCTCTTGTTGCTTGTTCCCTGGGGCAGAGCCTGACCCCCACCAAGTGTCCCCTCCTGTCAGGAGCTGTGCAGAGCCACAAGGTTCCCCCTGAGCCGCCTTTTCTCCAGGCTGAGCCCCTTCCCAGCTCCCTCAGCTGCTCCTGGTGCTCCAGACCCTTCCCCAGCTCCATTCCCTTCTCTGGACATGCTCCAGCCCCTTCTGGTCCTTCTTGTCATGAGGAGCCCAAAACTGCCCCCAGGATTTGAGGTGGGGCCTCAGCAGAGCCAGCACTGGGGGGTCTCTGTGTTAGTCTCACAAGGCCCAGAAGTTTCACCCTGTGCTCCCCTGGGCACCCTCCTGTCCCCAGCCCACTGCCATGTCAGCATCTCCAGCATCTCCAGCATCTCCAGCATCTCCAGCATCCCAGGCCCTGCTGACCACAGGCAGGAGGATGTACACATTAGCAGGAGTGTGGAGTGAGGACTCAGCAGGAAACCAAGCTCTCTCTATGACCTAGTTATTGATGAATCAGGGGAGATGCAGACCCATTACACCCTCCCCAGTTATTTACCCACTGCGTGGCACAGGATGTAGCAGGGATGCTTGGACACTTTGCTCACCCCAAGGGTGCCAGAGGTTTTGGGGTGGGAAAACATTCTTTTCACAGATGTTCACACAGACCAGGCATCACCTGTGTGGGTTCTTCTTCCCAAATCCGTCTCTGCCACCTCCCCTGCCTCTCTTCTCAGTGGGATGGGCAAGTCACCACTTGTTTCTCACTGAGATTCCCTGCGGAACTGGGGAGCTCCTTTCAGCCTGGAGCTCGGTCTCCTGCTTGCAGAGTCCATTGAGAATAAAAAGCAAATCCATCCCTGATCCTTCACCATCCAGGGGTGGGAGCAGCTCTCTGGGATCCCCTCGGGCCCTCTGCTCCAAGTCTGTCCCAGGAGAGCACTAAGCCTGGACTTGGTGACACGTAACGGAGGCTCCACCATGGTGCAACATCAGCTGCTGCTGCAGTGGTAATTACCCTCATTTACAAAGCCAGGTGGATTTATGAGGCTTTGGTAAGCCCTGGCACAGCCCAGGTCTCCCGGGATGCTTTTTTCCTTAGGAGTAGCAAAATAAATGGCTGAAATCCCCAAAGAGCTTCTGCCCATGGCAAAGGCTTGATCCCTACTCTTCAGAAAGTGCAGGGACTGGACAAGGACAGGGACAGGAACACCTTAGAGCTTGGTCTCACCCTGCCTGTGGTGTCTCAACCAGGAAGACATGGCCAAATAATAAGTTTTATGTTTAAGAAAACAACATATTTGTCTCAACTCTACATGCAGGGAAAAAATGTTGTTTTGGGGGGAAAAGTTTAATTAATGCCAAATTTCCTGAGTGCCTGAATGAGGCCCAGGAGGAAAATATTTGCAAAGCAGTCACCCAAAGGTGTCCTGTTCATAATTCTTTAACTAAATAACAAAATAAACTGGCTAGAAGAAGTGAGATCTGATAACAACATTCTTTTTGATCATAATAAAACAGCATTTGGGGAAAAAGTTGACAAGCGGCTTGAATTTAAATCCTGAAAGAGGCAGCATCACCTTGCTCCACACTGTTTGATGAAAATCCTTACATGGGTTTTCTCCATGTGCAGGGGAGTTTCTGTGGATGTTCCCTCCCCTGGGAGAAGCAGGGCCAGGACCAGGTGCGTGCGCCTGCGCAGGGAACCTGCCCGGGGGCACTCGGATGATTTCAGGCTGCATTTCCACCCCGCTCTTCCAACCCTTCCAGCTCACGCTTCCCTGCCCTGCCTCCTCGCCCCTGCCCATCTGGGGGCACGGATATAAACCCCTCCAGCCAATATGTTTCCTGTGGGCACCCAGCTTTGCCTGGAGGGTGCACATGACTCCTGTCCCATCCCAATTCTTTCCCTAGGGACAGAGAGAGGGGATTTTCTGGCGGCTGCTGGCTCTGAGCTCACACCGTGGGCATTCCTTCGGAGCTAGAGCAGCAGGGCAGGTTGCTGCTCCAGCTTTGCTGGAAACCTTGGAGCTCCCAGAGTGTGGAAGCAGTGCTGGTCCATCCAGGGATCACAGGTAAGCCAGGCTGGGAGGAGACACCAGCAGCCAGTGCTGGGCACTCCATCACCACTTCCATTTTTCTGCTCCTTGTTCTTGTTCTTGTTCTTGTTTTTCTTCTGGTTCTTGTTTTTCTTCTGGTTCTTGTTTTTCTTCTGGTTCTTGTTTTTCTTCTTCTTCTTCTTCTTCTTCTTCTTCTTCTTTTTCTTGTTCTTCTTCTCCTTCTCCTTCTCCTTCTCCTTCTCCTTCTCCTTCTCCTTCTCCTTCTCCTTCTCCTTCTCCTTCTCCTTCTCCTTCTCCTTCTCCTTCTCCTTCTTCTGATTTTTCTTCTCCTTCTTTTCCTTCTTCTTCTCCTTCTTCTTCTGCCTCTCCATCCCTTCACCCTCTCTCCACTGACACCTCTTTAGCCATGAGGTGGGATTTGCCATCCTGCCTCCAATTGTTTTTTCACCTTGCATCGCTGTAGAAGCGATGAGGGATGAGGAGAGAGTCCCCGTGCTGTGGAGGAGCACATGGAAACCCATGAGCATGAAGAGTCAGCCCTCAAACCCTTCTGCCTGCCACCCATTTGGCTGCTGTGGCTGTGATCTCAGCTGCTCTGGGAAGCAGCCAGCCTGCATTAAGGAGAGGCCATCGTTAGCACTGGGGCTCACCCTCGAGTCGGTCGGTCTGGTCGGAGCAGGAGCTGCAGAAGAGCTCCTTTGTGTCACACTCCTGTGTTTGCTCCCTTTGAACTCGGGAAGGGAGGCAGAGGAAGCTGTGGGAGCCTCACCCTGCTGCACCCAGGGGACTGCTGGACACGGCGGTGGCTCAGCTCATCCCACTGCAAACGAGCTTCTCCTCAAGAACATCATCAGCTGATGAGTGGGTTTGAGACAATCTTCCCTTCCCTGCATTAGAGCTGAAAAGGCTTTCAAAGAAAAGCTGTTTGCCACCAGTGTCTCAGGAGCTCAGAGGTGCCACTGAGGCAGTGTCACCTGCCAAGTGTCACCCACAACCTGCTCACTCTGCAGGGCTGGAGCAGCAAGGCTGGCTGGATTAGTCCCACACCGCATCCAGGGACTGAACTGCTCAGCTCCAGGGAATTTCTGCCTCTGTTTTCTACCAAAAATCTAGCTACCATGGGTTTGGTGATGCTTCTTGGCACCTGTCTTCAAAAACTGCTCTAAAGTCGCAAGGATCTGAAAAAAAAAATAGCAAATAGGAAAATTCTGATCAAAATAAGATCAGAACTGCTTTATCAAATTAATGAAAGAGGGCTGAGAAACAATGAGGACAGGAAAGTCATTAACATGGGGGAAAACAAAGAGGCAGAAGGTTAGATTTTGTTTTTGTTTGGAGTCCCATTTGTAGCTGCAGTGCTACCAGAGGTTGGGTCTGGCAGTCGAGAACCCACTGGAGGCGTCAAGCTCTGATCCCTTTCACTGGTAAACCCGGGTGGAGATTGCCTGGGAGTGCAGCCCAAGTGAAACCCAATTCAGAGCAAAGAGGCACCTCCCAGTGCTCCCAGTGCTCCCAGTGCCTCAGGACTCCAGTAATGCCCAGGGTCTGTGCTGGTGCTCCAGGCCTGAGCTCCCATGAGCCGAACTCCAGCCCTCGGGAAGATGCTGAGGAACGACAGTGGAGAACAGAGCCAATGAGCACCAACCTCTGCAGGGCTGTCCACTCCCCACAGGTATCTCACAGAGCACAGGGAAATCTTCCTGGCAGCAAGGTCTGACTCATAAAGAAAGTGAGGAGAAGGGAGAAGATGAGGCGACCAGGACTGGGCTGAAATGGGGAAGCGTCGTGTGGCAGCAACGGCACCTGACAAGAGATGTTAATGCCATGGATTGGTGAGCATCCTCAGAGTCCAAGAGCATTTTCTGGGGAATTTGAAACTCCTGCATCGAGAAGAGAGAGGAACTGTTGAGCAGTGGGATGTGTGTTGGGAAGAGGATGAGCCCTTGGTAGCTGGGTAAGGCACTGTGCTGGGCTGGCTGGTGCCACACATGAGGAGCAGGGTCCCCTTGGGGTGTGCAGCCCTCTCTCCCCTGTGCCCACCACTGACCTGCTCCTCTCCTTTTTCCCAAGGTGCTGAGGATGCCGAGCATATTTTCTTACCAGAGTGCCGAGGTGGATTGGTGTGAGGGCAACTTCGAGCGCTCGGCGGTGATTGCAGAATACTACAACACCGTGAGTGGCTGAGGGAGGCTGGGGCTGGCTCCAGGCAGCCAGGAGCTGCTTTTGGGATGCAGACAGGATAGGACATCCCTGTTTTCTTTCATCCTCCTCGCTCCTTTGAACTCCCTGGTGCTGGAGGGTGCTGGCATGGGGAGCGTTTTCTGAGCTTCAGGTAAATCACGGGACTTTTGTTGCTTGCAACAGTCGCTCCCCAAACCATGCTGGGGTCAGGGGCATTTCTGTTGTGTGGAGGGGGGAGTTGATTCCCAGTGAGAAAACTCTGGCAGAGCTCCTTCACAGCCCAGATCTGTGAGATCCTGTTATACCAGTCCTGCAGCTCTGCTGCCAAGCGGGGTAAGTCCCACACAGGGCTCATATATTCCAGCTGAACCTACAGGAGTGGCAAAATGAGAGGCAGCACTTCCATGAACCGTGTCAGGCAGGTTGGGAACACGGAACTCAGTGCAGAGGGAAGCTGGAGCATGAGCCAGTTTCACCTCCTGTGATCCTTTATCACCCAGGCTGCATCCAGTGCCAGTGCCTTGGCTGGAGCATCCCTACCTGCCACAGAGGGCTGGGAGATAAGCAGCCTCTCCGAGCATGTCCTGCTCCCTCAGAGCAATTAAAGGCTTCCAGGGGTGTGAGGCATGTGGATTTACAGCCTTCCGAGGAAGGCCTTGTTTACAACTTTTGTCAATTACTGTCTAACTAGAAGATCTTGTTCTCATGGAAATGGCTCTTCCTCTTTTTTTAAAGCATTTCCTGTCTTTAATAAATTACCTGTTATAACGATAATTCCCCAGCCCCAGTCCTGCAGGCTCCAATTGCCTGGCCAGGGTCTCAGAGGAGGGGGCTGTGTGTAGGCACTGCTCTTTGAGGCACTCAACAAAGAAAGATCTGCCAGTCCAGACCAAATCCTGCTTCCCTGTGGCACCCAGCTGGCTGCTTTGTGCTGTTCGCTCTTTCCTGCTGCTGCATGGGCTCAGAACAGGGCATAACGAGCAAGGAGACACAGAAATCACTCAATACTCACATCAGCATCTCAGATTTGAGGGCTTGGAGCAACCTGCCTGAGTGGAACATATCCCTGCACGTAGCAAGGGGTGGAAGGAGATGATCTCTAAGGTCCCTCCAACCCAAACCATTCTAAATGCAGCTGGAAGTGCCCAAAGCCTCTGGGTTTGAGAGAGTGGCTGCTAATACTGGAGAGGGGCTGATTTCCACCAAGAACATGAAGCCTGAAAGTGAAGGCTTTGGTTTTGGTGTGAATTCCTTCCTTCCAGAGGTAAATTTGCCTCAGGTTTTAGTTTGATACATAAGGCAGCATTTTTTAAACACGTCTTTGGAGCTGAGACACCATTGACACCAGACTTACAAAGTGACTCAGAATCCTTATCACACCAACAACTATCTCAGGAGCTCTTCAAAAGCACTTCAGTGTCTGACTCCTCTGCTGGACACCAGCTGGCGTGGCCAGATGCATGACTAATTCTTGTAGGCCCTGTAATTCCCATAAAACATTAACTCTCAGCTGCCTGGGTCATTTTGTGGCACAGGTTTCTAAATTCTGTGGCTACTCCTGAAAAGCTCACCCAGATGCCCAGTCCTGGAGGGAGGCCCCTGCTAGCCACAGCCATCTCCCAGGCTTCCATTCCACACCACTGGGCTTGTTGGGATGAATTCTCACTGTGTGGGACTCAGGCACAGTGAGAGAAACCTCTCCAGTGCATGTCTCAATGCAGATAAAGAGTGTGATACTGAAGGACAAAGGGATATGGACAAGCAAACCCTGAAAGATTTTTTTCCCATGTTTGGACTTGCCCTTGTTCTCCTCTATATGACACTGGGCACCTCTTCCTCAGCAAAGAAAGAGCTTTTTATGGTCCCTGCACTGATGTCTTTTTTGCCAGGCTCAGGAGACCAGCAGAGTGCCTGTGCAGGGAGGGAAGGAAACAATTCTGTCTTAGGATGTGATTCCTGAGCAGCAGGAATTTAACCTTGCCATGCAAGTTGCCTGCCTTAGGCTGGCTGGTGACCTCCTGTCCACACAAGGGGTGGCAGAGGAGCAAACCCTGCTAAAATCTGCCATTATCTGAGCATCTGACAACAGCCCTGAGGCCAGACCTTGTCACCAAAAGTGGGCAGGAACATCACTGATGTGGGCATCACCCCTTCCTCAGCAGCTCAGCCTGGCTGGCACTGCCTGGGTCCCTTCCTCAGCAGCTCAGCCTGGCTGGCACTGCCTGGGTCCCTTCCTCAGCCAGCACAGCCTGTTTGGCACTGCCTGGGTCCCTTTCTCAGCTGGCACTGCCTGAGTCCCTTCCTCAGCAGCACAGCCTGGCTGGCACTGCCTGGGTCCCATCCTTGGCTGGCACTGCCTGGGTCTCACCCCTGCAGCAGCACAGGGACCCCCATTCCTGCTCTGGGATCTCCCCCAGTGTCCTGGCTGCATCGTGTAGATCCAGCTGAGACTCAGGGCACTATCCTAGGTGTGATCCTAACAGCCTGCATCTTCTCTTCTTCTCCCCATTTATTTATTCCCTACATTCAGGTTGCTGCCTCTCTGCAGCAAGCGTTACTGCTGAATTAATTATACCAATATTTACCTCAGTGTCAATTTTCTGGAGTTTTTGGCTAGCTGGGAACCCAGCCAGCTTCTACCCAAGCCTCCTGGCTCATTAAATCAGCAGGGTTTCCTCAAAGAGCATGCTCTTCAGTGTCTTCCTCCCAGCCCTGCACGGGGCTGTTCTGTGCCAGCAGCAGCAAATGTGCTGCTGGGGATTGCTCTGTGCCAGCCACACTCTCTCAGGCCTGCTTGGCTTGGATGCTTTTTATTGGAAATAAGCACCAGGGGTATGAGAAAAGAATGTAAACAGTACCTTTAAGTAGCTAATAATACATGGTGGCTCATGGCTGGATGCAGTTCAGCAACAAAGCTCTATTTATAGTGACTCAGTGACCCAGAAATTTATTGTCTTCTGGCTGCTCGGGGGGGAGTAGAATTGTGCTCCAGCAGGGTCATCAGTCAGGGACTTGTCTTTCTACCCTCGTTTCTTTGCTGAAATGACTGATCCAAGATGCTGGTAATGACACCCACATCCTCAGCAGTGTCTCTTTGCAGCAGCTCTGATGCTGCTCACACCCAGAGCTCCTGGATGCTCCATTGAGTGGTGAAATAAAGGGTGCAGATCTACCAGAGAAGGGCTCAGTGGCAGAGTGGGGTGTCCTGGCCCTCTCACATTCTCAGTAATCCCATGGCTCTCTCGTCTGCCAAGAAAGTTGTGCTCAGGATGCAGCAAGCCTCCCCAGACTGCTGCTTCCTGCCTCAAAGCACCTTCATTTTGCTGTCAGCACCTGCAGCCTCTCCCCTGCAGCACTGGCCCAGCTTTAGGAATTTGCTGAGTGGGTCTGGAGAGCCTCAGAGGAGTTCACTTCTGTCTCTGGCCCTGTGGGCTCCTCTGTCACTACAGCTGCTTCACTGTGAGTGAAAATGAACTCCCTGCCACGAGTCCTGCAGGAATCTCCTTCCAGTGCAGAAAGTGCCTGGCTGGAGTGAGGAGCAGCCTCTGCTGCCACTGCCACCAGCACCTCCTGCCTTAATCCATAGCAGAGGCTGATCTCACCTGTCACAGGGGAAGGGTCTGTCCCTCTGTCTCAGGCTGGAGTTGCAGAAGTCAGGCTCTTCCCAATGATCCTATTAATGTTCCAGGATTAGAGCCATGTTGCTGATCCCAGCCTCACTTCTCTCCTAGGAAAAGAAGCAAATAGTTGGGCTCAGCTGAGGCACCTGGAGCAGTAACTCACATTTATTGGGGAGTGGGACAGACTGGGAGCTCAGGCAGGGGGCTTGCATGTCCTATCACACCTTGGCTCCAAAACCACTCCATTATCTCCCCAACATCCTGGGCAGAGGGAGCTGGTGCCTCTTGGCCAGTGTGACCAGAGAGGCTGAAATAGAAGCTGTGCTAGGGGGTCCCAGTCTGAGCAGAAACTCCAGAAAAACTTCTAATGGGTGTCCTGGGAGCAAAATCCTCCTAACTACATCTGAGATGGAGCTTGCCACATCCTAGAGGGAAGACAGAAAGTCAGCATGTACAAATCAGAGTGATGAAAACCTTGTGTCCCCAAGGGGGTGGGAGCTGTCCCCCTCTGCAAGGAATCCCGTTTATCTTCCTGACCCTATTGGCACGGTTCCCCTGGCTATCCCTCCCCTCTGCTATCTGATCTTGCACATCTCGTCCCGAATTAATGAAGTGATAACACAGTTATCATGTAATTAATGGGGCTGTTGCAACGCCCGGTGCTCAGGGATCCAGGGCTCTCCTCTCCCGCATTTCCTCACTGAAGTTCGTGCTGGCACTTGCACTCTCCTGCCTTTTCCCCAAGCGTTTTCCCTCTCCTTGCTATCCCTGCTTGCCTTCCAAAAGCCTCCTTAATCATTTCAAGAGAAAAGAAACGAACACATGGTTTGATTTCTCAGTCGTTTCTGAACAATTTGACCTCGAGGGTGCAAGTGGGAGCAGCACTTCTCTTTTCATGGCTGGAATGGGAATTGGCCTGGATTTGGCTCTAAGCACCTATGGAAAACAAATACATTCGTCTGAGAACTGCTGCTAATGGGAGCATCAACTTGTCTCATGGAAGCCTTAGTGAAAATCAAGATGAATCTCCGGTATTTAAGGGAATAGAGACCTCACATTAGGCATGAATTGTGTTTCCCTCTGGAATAGGAGAGGGTGTGTTCCAGAGAAACGACAACATCCCAGTGATTTGCAGCCCTGTTACCATAAACTGGGATCCCAGGGGATCCAAGCACCGATTTTGCAGTTTACCTGGTGCTGCTGAGGGGGGGAGACTCCAGCTGTGGATGCCAAATTCCAGGGGTGGGGTCTGGGTCAGCATGGAGCTGGAAGATGAAAGGAAAGGATTGTCAGGCTGAGATAAAAGTCACCCTGGTGCTTTGCCAAATGGCACTTCAGCAGATGGCTCCGGAGCCCCAAAGAGCTGTCTGGCAGGTAACTGCAGCACCACAATCCCACTTTCATAAGCAAGAACCATTTTCACTGGAGAGGCCGTGCTTCCTAGTGATACCCCTTCCCTGAGCTTGCAAAGTCATGTGAAAAAGGCAAGCTGGGAACCCACAGAGGGTAATAAAATTAGTTCAGATTTCCCTCCCCTGTGCTGCAGGGTGGAGTAGGCCTGGCCCAGCAGACAGGTCAGGCTTTGGGCACTCACTGCTCCTCTCCAGCTCCCACATTTTGCCCATCAGCCTCTCCTCTCTCCAAAGCACTGGCATCTTCAGCCAGTCCAGAAAGAGGCTGAGACCCAGCACCATCCTCTCCTCCCCAGCACCATCCCCTGTTCCCCAGCACCATCCTCTCCTCCCCAGCACCATCCCCTCCTCCCCATCACCATCCCCTCCTCTCCAGCACCATCCTCTCCTCCCCAGCACCATCCCCTGTTCCCCAGCACCATCCCCTGTTCCCCAGCACCATCCCCTCCTCCCCAGCACCATCCCCTGTTCCCCAGTCTAATCAAAGTCCATCAAAGGATGAATTTTGCAGAGTTGGAAATCAGAGCAGAACAATTCCTCTGTGTTCATTTGCCAGGTGTGTTTAGAGGAGGTTTATGAGCTCATGTAATAACCAGTGTCCAGAACACCTCCCCTCCCCAGGCCAGGTGGCTTCACACCTGACACCACAGGATGTCACCTCAGTCCTGCCTGTTCCCACCTCCCGATGTCCTGCTCATCCTGCTCTCTGCACCACACCCACTCCCAGGTCAGGATGTTTTGCTGACCGTGCCTTGCTGTGCTGGCCGAGCTCCTCACACCCTTCCAAGCCCTCACAGGGGAATCACTGCTGGCTGGGAGGGTCAGGAGGCATCCAGGCAGCTCCTGGAGGGTTTGGGTTGACATGAGAAGGAGATGGCTGCAAACAGAGGAGTTGCTTGGAGACACAAGGCAGCTGAAGATAAACCAACATCGCCCAAACAGGACACAGCAGCTCACCCTGGGCTTGCTGGCCCTGAGGGAGGGCAGAGGTGTCTGCAGCCTCTGCTGGATGCCACAGCAAGAGCTGCCCTTCCAGTTCCAGCCTGGCTTCTGGAGAAACACCTCTGCCCTCTCCCTGTGCCAAGAACAACCCCTGCTTGCTGCTGGAGATCAGGATCCTCCTCACACACAGAGATACTGAGGCAGGTGGTGGGATGGGGCTTGCCCAGGAGCTGAGTGTGCCTCTTGTTTTTCAGATCAGCAATGTGAGCTTCTTTGTGCTGTCTCCTGCGCTGCTGTACCTGAACCGGCAGTACTGCCAGAAGAAGGCTGTGCCCCTCTACTTTGTCTCAGGGCTGCTCCTCCTCATAGGTGGGTACCAGCATTGTGGGAAGACCAGACAGGTTGCCAGACTACCCAGCATGAGACCTTTGGAGGGTCAAAAGCACAGGGGAAACTTGGGTGGGCAAGCAAGCAGCCAGGTCTGTTTGAAGCCTGCAGCCCATGGTTCCTGCCAGCTGTGGATCTGCAGCTTCCAGCCCTGTAATCCCCATGGTGTGACTGGACCAACACAGTCCAGAACCCTTGAACACCAAAATACACACCCTGCTCTTCAGGAATTGTGGATCTTGAGGAATGGTGGATCTTGAGGAACAGCCCTCAAGGACCTCCCGGGGTTTGTGGGAGGATGGGGCTTTGTCATCTCAAGGTGCCCTTGCTCCTTGCAGGTGTCTTCTCCATGTACTTCCACATGACCCTGAGCTACGTGGGACAGCTCTTGGATGAGCTCTCCATCCTCTGGTCGCTGGCTGTGGCTTATTCCTTCTGGTACCCACAGGTTTACTTCCCCAAGTGCATCAAGACCAGGTATGAGCCAGAGGGACACGGTGCAAGCTCTGAGGGGAGGGATGGGACACTGACACTGAGGTGTAGTGACCCACAGATCCCCCAGTTCCCCTGCAAGGGGTCAGCTCTGAGGTCACTGAAGGGTTTTGGGATCAGGCCCTCCTTCTTACGATGCTGACAGAGGAAAAATCAAAACCCTCCTCTCAGCTGGAGCTGTTTGTATTTGTGTCACTGGAGAGGAAACTTTGCATGGAGAATATCAAAATTAATTAGAAAACGTAACGTTCCTGAACAGTAACATTCAATTACTCACACTGTCAATCTGTTCCAGCATCCTCTGTCGTTCACAGAGAGTTTCCCTCAAGGCTGAGGGGGTTTCCCATAGGACAAGATGGTTACACCCCTCATTTTAAAGAGGGCTGGTTGGGCTGGAGGAGCCCAGCAGAAATGTTGGGGCCACTGGGAGAGCATGGACCAGCAGAAACGGGAACCCATCAGGGCTTTACTCAGAGGATGTCCCCTCCTGGCTGGAGCCCTCTGAGCCAGCCCAGTTCCTTGCAAAGACCTGCTCCAAGTCTGCTCTGCCCTTCCGAACAGGAGGTCACCAGGAGTTCACCGAGGAGACACAGCTGGGGGACAGCAAGGGACTTGGGAAGGGATTTGCATGTGAAAGGCCCCTCTGAGCCCTATTGTTGCTCAGGGAGCCCAAACCGGTGTTTGCACAGTCCTGCCTGGCAGCCTTTCCCTGTGCACAGCTCCCTGCCTGTGCCTCATTCCTGGCACCACCAGGAAAGCGCAGGAGCTGCCTCCTGGGCTGTGCCCCGAGTCTGTCACAGACCCACTGGGGGCTGCTGCCTCACCCTTCCTGCCAGGACCCCACAGACACAGAGGTCAGCCACATGCGAACAGATTGGAGATGATGAAGAAGCTTTGCCCCTCTCAGGACCTTTCCCATCTTTACCCTCCCCTCCTGTGAGCCCTGGGGGCACTGACACTCTCTCCCAATTCCCCTCAGGAGACATTTCTACTGGCTGACTGGTACCACCACCGTGATCAGCACCTTGATGTCTTTCATCAAGCCCACCCTCAATGCCTACGCGCTCAACTGCATCGCCTTCCACCTGCTGTACCTGACCTGGAGGGAGCTCAAGAAGTAAGGAGGGGGCTCAGGGGTTACCTGCAGCTCCAGCTGTGCTCCTGTTGGGCACTGACTCTGTCCTCAACAATTAACTGAGCCCAAGTCTTCACCAGCCACGTGTACTTGGGAGAGACCAGGCAGAGGCCCAGGCAGGACTGCGGGTAGTGGGGTACAAGGCTGGCCCAGGTGGCCACGCAGAATAGGGACAGTTGGTGGAATCATCATCCCTGGAAGTTTTCAAAAACCCTGTGGATGTGGCATTTGAGTGCAGGGTTTGTGCTGAACATGGTGGTGGTGCTGGGTTAACAGTTGGACATGATGATCTTAGGGGTCTTTTCCAACCTTTACAGTTCTATGAGTCCGTGATTCTCCCCCTTGGCTGCCATCTCTGCAGCTCCTGCCCTTTTGTGGGGCATTTGGGAACTAGTGTGGGGCTGGGAGAATGCACCAGGGTCTGGAGAGAAAGACAGGAGTACTTTGGCATCTCCCAGCATCATCCTCACACCCAGAACATCAGAAATCCTCTCCCCAGAGCCACAGTTCTCCAGTTCTTCTGGAATTCTGAGGAATACTCTCCAGAAGGAGCTTGCTGGGGTTTGCACTGCTGCATGTGCAGGCAGGAACCAGCCCTCTTTAAAACTGCCTTTCCTCCCAACATGATTACTCTGTTGCCTGTCCCTCGCTGTGTCTTCCAGGTGCAATGACAAGCGGGTTCACCGGATGGCCGCGGTCATGGTGATGTGGTGGGTACTGGCCATCACCAGCTGGATCAGTGACCGCTGGCTCTGCTGGCTCTGGCAGGCCATCAACTTCCCCTACTTCCACAGCTTCTGGTAAGGGTTCCAGGAACCCCAGCCCAAACATTTCCTGGGTTGAAAAGTCCACAGCAGAGAAATAGCTGAAATGAGACGCTCAGCTGCATTATTTCCCCACGCTCTCCCCTTTTCCTGTCACTATTGCTGCTTCTCCTCCTCAGCCCAAGGATTCAGCCCTAACCACTACTTAATGTCCCTCTCCTCCTCTACACCAGCCAAGCATTGTTTTGCAAGTGAAATTGTTCCAGAAGTCCCACCAGGTGGGCTCTCAAAGGGCTGTGGCTGCTCCCAGGGTGCTGTGTGAAGTACAATGTCCTAGGGGTTCTTTTAGCAGCCAAACTGGAAGGCAGGGCTTTGTTTGGACCTGACATTTCAGTGCCTGCCCAGGTGGGGCTGAAAGTGCTGCACACTCAGATCCATCCCCGCAAAGCACTGGGATGGTTGGGACAGACAATGCAGCCAGGAAATGGGGAATGGTTGGAATGGGTCCCCTATGTCACCCCAGCCCTGCTGCACCAGGAATTGTCTCCAGCCCAGTTCACAGAGCTCTGCCAGGATATCCCTGCAGGCACAAACCCCGAAGGACAATCACTCCCTGCAGCCCTCATGGGACCTTTTGGGGGGTGCAGCCTCAGGCTGACCATGCCATGACCCTCTGTCCAACACGGTTTTGGTTTCCTTGGCAGGCACGTGCTGATAGCCATGTCCCTGCTGTACTGCTGCCCGCTGGTCATGTACTTCGACATCACCTACGAGATGCCCTCGTTCAGGCCAAAGCTGGAATACTGGCCCAGTGACTCGTGGCCCATTGTGGTGCCCTACATCGCTCTGGAGGAGCCCCACAAGCAGTGCTAGAGCTGGGTGCCCTCAGGCCTCCCTGGGGCACGGGGTGTGTGATGCTCACACGGGGAACATCTCGGCTGTGTTCCTCCTGTTCCTCAGGCAGGGGCAGTGTGGTAGTGGAAGGGGCAGGGAGCAGCTGAGGCCTCGTGATGCTGGACATGAAGCAAGGTGGGAGCCCACAGGTGCCTCGGAAGGCTCTGCCAAGACTGATGTTCAGGGAGCTGGAGATTTCCTCCAGCAGATCCCCACGATGCGGGGAGGGACACGCTGCTGCTTCTGTGTCCTCTGTGTTAGTCAAGCACCAGCACCCCTTGCTGACAAGGGCACAGCAGAGAACACTGAAGCCAAACTGGTGACAGCTGGGTTTGTTGGGGCTGTTCTAATTATTGTTATTATTAACTCTATTTATTGATGTATGTGGTCTTACTCAGGAGAGCTGTGCATTAAAGCTGTGGACGCTGACTTATACTGAAGCCTTTTTTTTTTCCTCTGACTGCACCACATCCTCTTATCTGCCAGTCACTCCCATAGACAGGGTGGCCAAAGCTCTCTCTGACCCAGGGAGAGCTGTTCATAAAGAGAAGTCCTGGGTGAGAGCACAAAAGAGGCTCTGCTGTCCCAGGTCCTGAGGTGACCTGCCCCAGGCTATTCCCCTTCCTCAAAAACCCCAGTGGCCCATGTTCCTCCCCAAAGGCCACAAAGGTAACTTGGAGACTCCTCTGCTTTCTGGAGGGGCTGTCTGGGGGCAGGATGAGGCAAGGAGCCAGGATGGTCAAAGCTGACTGAAGGAAGGGATTGTCCCACACTGCTCTGTACTGGGACAGCCTCAGCTCCAGTGCTGGGGGCACTTTGGGCACCACAAGAAGGATCCAAAGCTGCTGGAGAGTGTCCCAAGGAGGGACACGGAGCTGGGGAAGGTCTGAGGAGCGGCTGAGGGCACTTGGCTGGTTCAGCTGGAGCACAGGAGATGAGGGGAGGCTCCTCGGGGGCTGCAGCTCCTCCCGAGGGGAGGCAGAGGGGCAGGGGCTGAGCTCTGCTCTGGGACAGCTCCTGGAGCCCAGCAAGGGCTGGAGCTGTGCCAGGCCTTGGCATGGAGCTCAGGGAAAGGTTCTTCCCCCCGAGGGTGCTGGCACTGCCCAGGCTCCCCAGGGAATGGGCCCGGCCCCGAGGCTGCCAGAGCTGCAGGAGCGTTTGGACAGCGCTCTCAGGGCTGCTCAGGGTGGGGCTGTTGGGGGGTCTGGGCAGGGACAGGGGCTGGGCTGATGATCCCTGAGGGTCCCTTCCAGCTCAGGATATTCTGGGATCCTTTGAATCTATGACATTAGATAAAAATGTTATTACCTTTGCAGGAACACTGCTGTGCTTTCTAGGTTGTCCCTGCTTTTGCTCTCACAGCCATGGGACACTCTCCTGTTCCCTAAACCTCGCTGCTCACAGTGACAAGCTGAGCCTTGTGGTGGGTCTGGGCACTGGCCCAGCCTGCAGGGGCTGTCACTGGGCAGCACCAAGGCTGGCAGATGAGGCTGGCTCCCTGCAACGCAGCCACACCAAGGTAATGTCACTCCAGGGACCATTTTTGAGCCCCTGCGAGTAAAGCAACATCAGAATCTCTCTGGATTTTATCTCTCAGGATGACAGGCAGTGCCTTCTACCGTGGCTGCGGCTGCCTTGTGGCTCCCTCTGCAATGGTCCCCAGGGCCACTAGATGGCAAATTTGGCTCATGAACCCCGAACAATATTTCTTCCTGGGAGAAGAATGCCTTGCCATGGACTGGACTCCCAGGCCTGGTCCCTCTGTTCTCTCCATCCCCCAGCACAGGGGTCAGGCAGCTCTCCTCCACCCCTCAGACACCTGCACAAGGTGCGGGGCAGTGGGAACTCGCATCCCCAGCCTGTGCATGCCCCTCTCTGCCTGTCCTGGTGCCCATCCTGTTAATTTGCCTCTTTGTCTCCCCTGCGTGCCACCACTCCCACCTCTCCCCTCATCACCCCGTCTCCCTTTCGCTGACCCTCCCTGCCGCTCTCCCCCCTCCTCACCCTTTCCCCGGCCCATCACATTCTTCCCCAGCCTATTAATAACTTCTGGGCAATTGCACCGGGTCCCCGCTGGGCCCGGCCCCGCCGCCGCCGCTGCCCCGCGCAGCCACTGAACGCGCCGGCAGCAAGTTCAAAAGTGCAGCGGGGCTTTCAGAGCCCCGAGCCCCGTCAGGGGGTGGAGGAGGCCGCTTCCAAAGAAAAGGCGGCGTTGCCAGGGAGCCCCTGGCACAGGAAAAGGGGGTCACCTTCACCTCCGGCAGGACCCGCCGAGATGGACAGGCGCCAGCAGCCCCGCGGGCTGGGGATGCTGAGAGCGGCCGGGGGATGAAGGGCCGGGCCGGGCCGAGCGGGGCTAATTGGCCACCTCCGGCCACCGAGCCCCGGTGGGATGCTCGGCACAGTGGCCAAATCCCCCCGTGCATATGGAAATAAGGGAGGTGTCCCCGGCGCTGCTGCCGGGAGAACAATGTTGCTGCAGTTGAGTGACTGTAACAGGCCCCGATGACAGCCGGGGCCGCGTTAAAAATGCCTATTCAAGCAGATCAAGACATTGAGAGGCCTCGTGGGGATCTGAAACCCTCGGGGATTTCTGGATGAGGCCAGAAGCTGAATCCCCAGCCCTGGGAACCTGCGGGAAATAAATTAAAAAAAAAAAAAAAAAGAAAAAAAAGTGAGAGAGAAAAGAAAAGAAACCCACAAAGAATCTCTAAAAGGGCGGCAGTGCCCGAGGCTGGGCCTCCTGCTCCGAGCAGGGCTGCAGCCTGAGAAAGCAAAGCAGCCCCAAAACCAGCCTGTGACGGTGGTCTGGGCATCCCCAGGGCTGCACAGGGTTATCTGAGGCTGGGTTTGCACCTCCAAAATGCCCCCGAGCTGCTGAGGATGCTCTGTCCTTCCTGCCAGGGAACCACAGCTGCAGTCTGTGGAGCAGAGCTGACAAACACCCATAAAAGCTGTCAGGGGGACGAAGGGATGGCCAGAACAGAGAGTGGGGACCTCCTCAGGGGGTGAGAGGCTGCAGGACCCCTTCTCAACACCCTGGGGAGTTGTGAGGGCTCCCTGTGGCCCGGGACCCTCTGCCATGTGGGTGTGACAAGTGTGACACCAGCTGAGTACAGGACAGGAGCACCTGCAAAGCCCCGCGCTCAGGGGGCCAAGCTGGGACTGGCCAAAGAGAAACCTCCCCTTAATTTTGCCTAATTATGTCCCTGCTTTGGTTCTCCACGTGGCTGCATAAACCACAAAAAAGAGAGGCAAGAGAAAGAGTGGAAATGAGGAAGAGGATGGAAGCTGCTCCTGTCAGCTGATGCCAGATTAGAGGTTGGGAAACAACAGCATCTATTTGGTGCAATTGCAAAACAAATGAAAGAAAAACCTTGATAAGGCACCAGTCCTGCAGCATCAAGGATTAACATTTACCTGTTCTGCTGCACCAGTTGCCTCCCGCTGTTTCAGATTCCCAGGATTTGGCTGGCAGACTGGAAACTTTTCAAGGCAGGGTGATTTATCTGTAAAAGATATTGCACATTCAAGGAGACCTGCATAAATAATGCAAAAGTAATTAATAATAACTCAGTCTCTGCTCTTAACAGTGCCAGGAAAAGAAATTGCTTCACTGGAGTGTTGCTTATGCCTTTTGGAAAAGATCTTTATTTGTAAGGGGTCTCAGAGTGAAAGGACAGGGTAGTCCTGAAACAGGGTCACAAAGTCCTGGGATTTTAGTGCCAGCCTGGCAATCTTCAGGACTGATTTAAAGAATCTTCTGCTGGAGTTAGGTGAAACCAACAATGGCTCAGCTTTGATTTTATATTTAGTTTTCATCTCCCATGTCTGCAGTCAAAAGTTTGAAACCATGAACACAAAGGGCTGAGAAACCCAGGAAGGAAAGAGATAAGCTCCAAGAATTATTACTTTTAAAAGTATTGTCCTTTCAACTCTCAGTGTAACTTTTCAGATTTGACACAGGATTTCCAACTCAGGGTCTGGCAGTCCTGTCCCACCCATTTCACAGCTCTAGGAAAGATACTCCTTTTTTTTTTTCCCCCACTGTTTTCCCTACATCCCTGCGGTCCACTTTTCTTAGAAGACAACATTAACCATAAATGCCAGGATTTCACAAATATTGCTGGCTGTTCTGGACAGGAGGAAGCTATCAGGTGCTGACTAGCTGGCAGGGGATATTGTCACTATATTCCAGGGAATGCTTTGTCATTGTTTTTGCAGGGTGTCAAGGTCCCTGCCTGTGTCCTTCTGTCTGAGCTGCACCCACCGCCGGGTTTGACCAGGGATCTCAGAGATGTGGGGAAAGAGAAGCACAGCCATTACCTGGGAAAATAAACCAGCTGACCAAAAAATGAGGTTTTAATCAAAAGATCAAATAATCTCTTCAGCTGTTTCTATAAACCCCTGTGGTTTGGTTCCACTTGGGAAGACATTCTCACTGCTGTTGGCAGAACAAAAACAAGCAGCTCCCTTCTGTCTGGCAAAGTGGTTTGAATAACTTCAACTCTCCACTAATGGCTGCTATCAAAATACCTAAAATGGCAGGATTAATTTTTCTGTGCCTTCCCATTACAGCTCGAAACGTGGTTTCAATTAGGGTTGGTCTCCGGGCTTTTATTTTTGTTCATTTTCTATGAACATTCAGTTGCTTCTGTCCCTATTCCTGCAGAGGTTCTTCACAGATGTGTTCAAACATAAAACTGGACTCTGCTGAAATGTCTCACTTTCCTTCTTTGGCACCAATATTTAACAAAAGTTGAAGATTTACCTGAAATGCTGAAATATTCAACATTAAGTTGTGCATGGGGTTATAAATTTCACAGTCTGCTGTAGATGCTGCATTTATTTAAACAGGCCTTCAACAAGAGACCAGCTGTCTCAGTTCCCTGAAATGTTTAAACATATGTTTAATTTTAAGAATATTAATAATTCCATTGATATCAATGACACACTTAATATATTTTGCTGAGCTGGAGCAAGGAATAGTGCCATGTAATGCCAATAAAGTGCAAATTTCAATATCTCACTAAGTGTTTTCTGGGACCAATTTAAAAATGAATCAATGAAGAGCTGTCGTGTGAAAATGCAGGAATTAATATATGTGAGATTCTGTTGTTTGCTATCCTAATATTACCAAGTATTAACATCCACCAGAGCATTGACAAGTGAAATCAACCCCAAATCTGTGAAACAGAGCAAAAATGGCAACAAGTTGCATGTGTTGTTCATCATGATTCATCCTATCAGGCTTCACAATTTGCCTATGTAACATGAAATAACATTTACCATCTTTACAGGCAGACAAAGATATAGATTAATTCCAATTAAGATTTGGAATCAGATGATCTGTAAGGTGCCTTCCAAGCCAAACTCTCTCAGGGATGCACAGGGTGGGATTGTTGGGGTGTGTGTGTGTGGAGGTTGGACTCATGATCCTTGTGGGTCTCTTTCAATTTGGGACATTCTGTAATTCTATGACTCTTAGTGTTTAAAATATCATAGAGCAAAGGGTCAAAAATAACATTATTTTCCTCTTTCTGTCTCTTACCCTCCACAAAACATTTTTATGAGGATCAAATAAAAATTTCCAGGCACAAACACTTCAGCTATTTGGATTTGCCCTCATAATTTTTACTGCTCACAAGTTCAACACCCCTGACATTGCCTGTGACCTGCAGAGACCTGGGCCATGCCCCTCTTCCCCTGGGATGGTGTCACCAAATAAATAACTCTATATCCATATGCAAATGATTGCTGTTTTCAAGCTGTTCCCCAGCGACCTCACACCCTGCTCAGACGGTGCAGGAATTTGTTTCCCACATATGTCAGATGTTTTGTGACACATTTCACACGGATTTAAAATAGATCTCCTGGCCTATAAAAATGCCCAGGCACCCAAACCAAGCAGGCTGCACCTGCAATGTTTGCAGAGTGCACTTCCAAAACTATGTGAAATGAGTCCAAATGGATTGTACTCTTCATCCAGCTCAAATATTGATGGTTTATAACTTTATAAATGCAGTGGACCCACACATGGGAGGGTGTTACCCGGCTTATTTGATGGCTGAGTAACAAAGGGAAAGAATTTGTTACAGCATTGCCTTCACAGTGACAGCTCTGAATCCCGTGTTGGTCAAAACAGTGTTTGTCACTTTATATTCCAGCCTGACTCCCTTGAAACTGCCCTGGCTGTGCTTTTATGCAACAAAATCCAGCTCCAGGGTGTTTGAGATGTGCCACGCTGCTAAAAAATGGCTTTGCTGCAATCAGGGGCACTCCTGTCTCACAGGTAATGATGGCACTGATAAAGCTGAAGTTTCAGTGGGCTGAATTTCAGCATGGCAGGGCCAGCCAAATGCCCTGAGTCACAGCACGCTGGCAAAGCCCCCAGTGCAGCGTGGGGCACTATCTGAGCTGGTATCATACCTGAGCCAGGTAGAGCAGGGGTCATTTGCATGCATTTGCATATGTGGCAACCCCTCCTGCAGTTGCTGTGCAGACAGGTGAAAGCTCTTTTTACAGAAATCCAGAAAAAGTTTAGTCTAATCTATTACGGGAGCAGCTGATCCAGAATCCACAAAAAAAAAAAAAATCAGAAATTCTTAATAATTTTATACTATTCTAGAATCAATCCCACTGGTTCAGATCATTGAGTCCAGCCACTAACCCAGCAGCACCACCACTTAAACCATGTCCCCAGGGGCCACATCCAAAGCTTTTTGAACACTTCCAGCAATGGTGATTCCACCACTGCCCTGGGCAGCCAATTCCAATGCTTTCTGTGGGGAGATTTTCACAATATCCAACTTAAATCTCCACTGGACCAACTTGAGGCTGCTCTTGTCCTGTCCCTGGTTCCCTGGGAGCAGAGCCCAACCCCTACATGGCTGCACTCTCCTGATCAGGGAGTTGTGGAGAACCAGGAGGTCCCTCCTGAACCTACTTTTCTCCAGCCTGAGGCTTGGAATGCCACAGGCTCTGTGAAACAATACCAGGAGCTCTGGTTTTATCTCACGATATGCTCTGAGTGGAGAGAGCATCACACACCACCGGGTTGGGGATCCACTGCCCTTGGAAAACACCAGTGGCTCTCAAAGCCACCAGGCTGAATTACTGGGGTTGGAAATAGCAGAAACACCAGTCCCAAGAGGAAAAGGCTTCACAAAAGATAAGAGCTCAGGATGCTCAGAAGGAGGGCAAGCATGAGTATGCAGCCACTGGCCTGCCACCTTAGAGCCCTAGGAAACTCCCAGCACTGGGAGGGCCTTGGGAGAGGTCCTGTCTCAGTGTATTTGTAGAATCACGGAATGGTTTGGGTTGGAAGGGACCTTAAAGCCAATCCAGTGCCACCCTGCCATGGGCAGGGACACCTTCCACTGTCCCAGGTTGCTCCAAGCCCCACCCAACCTGGATTTGGACACTTCCAGGGATCCAGGGGCAGCCACAGCTGCTCCAGGCAATGTGGGCTAGCAATCCCTACTCACTTTTTGGGCTCTACAGCCCAGAACACAACTCAGGACAAGCTCTTTGGTGCTGGTCAGACTTATCTACTGATCTCCTTCTGTCGTGTGCTATTTTTCAAGCTATTTTTTCCCCTCATCTGGTATTTTTCAGTAGCCTAGATGTTACCCTGCCAAGGATCACAGTCCCCAGTCACAAGGTGGCCTCTCAGCATGTAGATGGGCACCTTTCAAAGACTTTGGCAGCAGCCAAAAGCAGCCCTGTGCAGAGCAGACACCGATCTCAGCAGTGACTCTCCCTCCCTCCCATTGTCCCACGATTGTGTTTGCTCCAGTGGCCACACGAGGTGCCTGGGCCTGTCTTCTCCAGCTGTCCTTGTGCCAGCAGTTTGCATTCAGCCTGGGACAAATCCAGCTGGTGGAATTCTCCCCGTGGCAGGTCTGGCCAGCCCTGGCAGCAGCAGGCTGTTACATCACTTGGCCAAAGCTGACCTCTGTGTGCAGAGCTCCAGGGGAAGGTGGCCTCACCTCAATAGCCGGCAGGCCTGGATTGATGGGTGTCACTTCAGCAGCCCATTATAATGCCAAGCTCACCTTTGGTGTTAATGAGGCTCCTTCATTAGCAGCCTGGAGCAGAGGGGTCAGGGGCTGAATAGTGACAGGCTCCTTTCTCCCCCAGCAAGCTGGTGCTGCTCATTCAGAACTGGGTCACGTTGGCGGGGCAGTTCGAGGACGCTTGTGCTGCCCATGTTGCATCTGCAAGGGACGTGATGTGTTTGAGACTATTCATCTGGCTCTTTTCACCAGCACTAAATACCCAGAAAGAATAAAATAAATTCTCATTGTGTTCCCACTTACTAAGAAAATTTTCCCTCTTCCTTCTGGTTCGGGGGGTTATTGTACATTTAAATCCTTCTGCATTTTTCAGTAGCTATAGCATGCTATAATTTAGATTTTCCTCAGGCACAAAAGAACTTAGTTAAGCTAAACTGTATTACAGTGTGGGCTGGGTTTTTTTACAAAGTCCTTCATTAATAAGGAACTAAAGAATTTCCAAGCTGTCTGTAATTTTTCCCAGATGCAGCTAGTAGTTGCTAGGAGTATCTTTTTGGCAATCAGAGTTTTTGGTTATTAACAATCTGGGCTTTTGCTACACTACACTAGTGTTAAATATGTTCTGTGAACACTGCAGTGTGGAGTGTGAACTGCAGAAGGGGAAGGCAGACACCAGGCAAAAGAAAATCATTTTTCAGAAGAATAAACACTGCTGGGGTTCACAGCTGATTGAAACAAGCACAGGATTCCCTGCAGGGATCCCAGTGTTGATTAACAAACCAGGAGCCAGCGTGGCTGTAGCCCTCACTCACCCCTCACTCACAGCTTCTCCCTGTCACCCTGAGGTGACCCTGGGCCAGACACAGACCAGAGCAGCACCCAGGTCCCCCCAGAGAAACCAAATCCTCCCTCAGCTTCAGGTTCAGGACATTTGCAGAGGCTGCACACAAGGATGTGATGCTGTGGTTGGCAAAGCCTTGGTCCACACCAGGAGAAAGAGCTCTGCCCCTTCTGACTTAGACATCACCAGTTCTGGGTTTCAGCTGCAGATTCGCTCATCCTGGGAACACCACAGAGCAATTTGCTCACGGGTTGTGCTTTGCAGAAATGGGTGAAGGCCACTGTAATCATTTTGCAGCTGTCAAGAGAAGGCAGTGAAGTCACTGACATCCAGAACTTGAGGATCTTTCCACTCAAGCATGTTGCACATGGGCACAAAGTGGAAAAGTGAATTTTCTCAGAGAAACCCTGCTCAAATGTGAGGTTTGTGTCCTAATCTTTAAATCCTTCAGAGCTATTACAAGATGATAATTTTCCTGCACTGCCTGCTTCTTTCCGTGCTGGAATCAGCCTTGCTTGTTCCCTGGCTGGTGTCCAAGCCACTCAGAACCCAGCCTGACCACAGAAGTTGTGGTCTTCAGTGCAAGAGTGGAAGCAGGGAAGGCTGCAACTAAATTAGTAATGAGAAAATAATAATGAATGATGAAAAACAGTGAAACAAGCTTGTTTCTCCAGAGACAGGAAGGGCAAGCCACAAGCACAGACATATGAAACCATGACAGGGACTTGCAGTCGATGTACATCCCTCGCAGTGAGGGATGCTAAACTACAGCAAAGAACTTTTGCTAGAAAATGAGCAACTGGAAAAGTAAAAAATGGAAAAGGCATCTTGGGCTGCATGAGGATGGCCTGGAGGGACTGCTGGGGAGGGTGGGGGCTGTGTGTGAGGGGGTCAGTGCTGTGTTCCTGCAGAGAAAGGGAGCCAGGGCAGGGAAGAGGTGCCTCAAGGGGCAGTTTTGTCTGCAGTTGCCCGCTGCTCAGAGCATCCCAAGAGCTGGGGTGGGCTCTGCCATGGCTCTGCCAGTCTGGTGGCTGGGGGGACACCTGAGCATGGGCTGCTCTGTCAGGATTTCACCCACTGGAGCACCAGGACTCACCTGATCTCCACACCCCAGCTGCTGCCTCCTTCACTCACACTCGGCAGGAACAGCCACATTCAGCCTGTCAAACATCCGTGGTGTGCACCGGCAGGAGAGAGAAAGAACGTGCTGTCCTTTCCCAGGGCTGGAACCTGGGAAAACACCCCCGAAATCTTTCCCATCCCTGGCCAAGGCAGGGATAAGCACAGTGCAAAGTCTTTTTTCCACTTTATTTTCCATCATCCCCAACTCTCACGGGACAGAACCAGCCCTTGGCATGGTCCCCTACCATGGGCCAAGCCAGATTAAACACACACCTTTCAGTCCGAGACAAGGATCTTTGAGGCAAGACTCTGGAAAGAAAAATAATAAAAAAACCAAAACCAACCCCAAACAAAAATGAAGGAGAGCTGCCGTGCCTCGTTTGCATATTTGAATATGCAAATAAGGGCTGTTTCTTATCCATTGGCACTGGCCCTACTGTAGATGGCAGCAGCACAGCGGATCTCTGCCAGCATCCAGTGCCACAAAGAAAGACGCTAATTGGATTTGCAGACGCTTATTGCAAAGCCCAGAAGTTGCTGGAATAGGTATAAAGAATCAGGAGCTCAGCCCATGGCTGCCTCGGGTGCGAAGGCACTCGGCTGACAGCTCGTTAGCTTGAGATCTCCCTGCAAAATTAGGAGTTTGGAGAAGCCTGGATGGCTGCTGGCTCCGGCATCCCCAGCACCCAAAACTCCCAAAGAGCCTGGCAAATTTTCCACCCTTGGCTGTGATTTTTTTTTTTTTTTTTTTTCTTTTTGAAAAGAAATTCGGGGTAGGTTTGATCAGTGGTTGTGCTGGAAACAGTTCAGGCTGGGAACTGCTAGCAGAGCAAAGGCTGGTTCTAGGAATTTCTCTCCTTGAGTGTTTTTGCAGTTGAATGTAAAGAGCCACCCCAGCACATTTTAAATTAATCCTTTCATGCCACTTCATCAAATATCCTGAGTTGGAAGGGATCCACAGGGATCAGCAAAGTTCAGCTCCAAACTGCTTGTCCCAGCAGAGAGCTATTGGAGCACCAGGTGGTGCTTCCCCCAAATGGGACACCCCAAATTGTTCAGTAAAAATGTAGTTTAATGCCCAATTATTGGGCTGGAAGCTGAGGCACCTGGCTCTGGGTTTTCCATCTTGGAAGTGTCCACGTTCTTACTCAGATCCTGCCCCTGAAAGCTGAAGGAGTGACCCGTGTCCAAACCAGAAGTGGGATGGCAGCTGTGTCCTGCACTGGGAGAGCACAAAAACAACCACTAACACCAGTATGGGCAAAAATAAAAGCATGGGAAAATTGCCATCGAGGGAAATTAAAACAAAAAGCAAATTCTAATGATGTTTCAGAGGAATAAACAGGAAATTTTTCAAGAAAAAGCTCAGGGTCTGGTATGTTTGAACAACATCTCTTGCACAAGGTGGAAATTCAGCAGAGCAAGAGCAAACTTTGGGAAAGACGAAGACATTCCCAGGAAATGTTCAGCCCTGGGAGCATGTAACCACCAAGGACTGTGATGAGGCTGTGAGTGAATAGCCAAGATGGGGAGGTAGAAAATAAAAAGATTTAGACCCGAGAGTCACGTGCATGGGAATAATGTTCACAATTAAAGATATCAATGAGAACCCCCAGAGAAAGAGGCCCTTTCTCAGTGGAGAAGAAAAGGGACTGTCCAAGGAGATGTCTCTTGGGACTGCATCAGACAGAAACATGGAAAATTAAAACCGGAGCACTTAAAGGAACCCAAATCAGGCTCTTTTTTGTTGTTGTTGTTGTTAACTGAAGCGATTAAGCATTTTGCTTCGCTAATATCCTCTATCAGGTTGATGAGGTAAAGTGGCTCTTTAGAACGATTTGGGAACCGATTAATCCTCGCCTGTGGCGATCAGGCAGCGACACACAGTTATTGGCTAACACGGGGTTTTTCTGCTGCCTCGCAGAGATCAACAAACTATTTCGAACAAGAAAGTTGCACGGAGAAAAATTCTGAGCGAGTTTGCTCGGAAACAGTCACCAATTGCTCTTGTAAAGATTTTGCCGCGTTCCTTTAGGGCTGGCAAAATTGAGAGCTATAACTTGTCACTTAAAATTGTTAAAAAAAAAAGGGGATAAAACTCTCCCCCGTGAGGGAGGAAGAGGGGGGAGAGGGGGAAAGAAGGCGGGAAGGGGAAGGGAACTGCAGGGGAATGAGGGACAAAGGGGAGAAATGAGGGAAGTGAAGGGGAAATGGGAACTGAGAGGAAATGTGGGAGACTAAGGGGAAGAATGAGGGGGAAATGAGGGGGGGGGAAGGAGAGAAACTGAGGGGGAAATGAGGGGAAAAGAGAAAACTAAGGGTCAAAATGAAGGGGACTGAGGAGAATGAGGGTGACCGAGAGGAAAATGGAAACTAAGAGGAAATGTGTGAGACTGAGGGGGGAAATTAGGAAGACTGAGGGGGAAAATCTAGGAGACTGAGGGGGGAAAATGAAGAAGACCAAAGGGAAAAGGAGATAAACAGAGGGAAATGAGGGAGACTTGGAGGAAAAATGCGTGAGACGAGGGGAAAATGGAAACTTAAGAGGAAATGTGGGAGATTGGGGGGGGGGGGGGGGAAAATGAGAAAAATTGAGGGAATAATGAGAGAGAGTGGGGAGAAAGGAGAGAAGCTGAAAGAAAATGAGATTGGGAGAGAAAATGAGAGAAAACATGGGCTACTGCAGGAAAAATAGAAACTGAGAAGGACATGAGGGAGACAGAGGAGAAAAGGGGAGATAATGAGCAGGGAATGAGAGAAAGAGGGAAAGGAGAAAAACAGAAAGAAAAAGGAGGGACACCAAGGGAAAATGGAAACTGAGAAAATGTGGGATAATGATGGAAGAAAAGAGGGAGACTGAGGGGAAAATGAGAGATATGGAAAGAAAATGAGAGAGTGTCAGCAACTGAGAGAGAGCAAAGGAAAAATGAGGAAGAACAAGGGAAAATAAAGAAGTGAGGGAAAACGGGGGAGGACAAGAGCAAATGAGAGAAAGCTGAGGGGAAACGAGAGATAGGCAGGAGGGAAAGGGGAGCGCTGAGGGAAAATGAAAGACAACGAGGGGAAAAATGAGACCAGGGGAACGTGAGGGAGAGACGGAGAGAAAAAAAGGTGCAGGAAAGAGCGAGGCTAAGGAGAACCAGGCGAGCCCTGCCCGGCCACCCCGGGCCGCATCGGGACCTGCGGCTTCCCTCGTTTCCCCGCGTTCCCACCTCATTTGTGTCGGGAATTAACACACCGCCGGGGAAACGTGGACCGAGGGCGGGATGGGAGGAGAAGGGGCGGGATGGCGCGGCCGAGGCCCACACGGCTGGTGGCTGTGTTGGCTGTGCACTAAGAGGAACATTGCGGGGCAGCAGCGGGGACAGCAGCGGGACAGCAGCGAGGACAGCAGCGGCACATCGCCCCACATCGCCCCACACGGGGCTGGGGGGGCGGCCGGACCCCGCTCCCGCCCCCCGCCTGACCCACAGCGCTGGCCCCGCCCACGAGCCCGCCCACTCCGCGGCCCGCCCGCCGCTCATTGGTGGACACGCCTGTCCATCACGGGGCCCCGCCCCGCGGCGTGCGGCGCGCGGGCATTGGCGGCGCGCGGGGGCCGCTGTGGCGCTGAGGCGGTTTCCGGTTCCGCGGGGCGGGCGCGGGGCTGGCGCTGCCTGTGAGTGACACACAATGAGGCGGGCGGCGGGGCCGTGAGGGGCCGCGACCGAGCAGGCGGCGGCCGAGGAGGTGGGGAGGGGGGTGGGGGGGACGGACAGAGCGGCTTCGCTCGTGGACTGAGCGGGGCAAGAGATTCTCTCCCCCCGCCGCCCCGCCGAGCGGGCAGCGAAACCGCCGCGGCGGTGGGAGCGAGCGAGCGGGGCCCGCGGCGCTGCTGTGCCCAGCCATGGACAATCAGGTGAGGGGAGCGGCCGCGCCGCGCTGCCGGAGGGGTGGGGCGGTGCCGCCCCCCCCTCAGAGAGGGGGGCACGTCGGGGAGGGACCCCCGGGGAAGGGACCCTCAATGGGGGGGGGCGTCCCTCTCCTCAGTAAGGGGGGGCTGGGCGGCATCGCCCCGCTTTGGGGGGCATATCTCCTCCTCACACCCTCTTTGGGGGACACAGCTCCTCCCAACCCCTCATTTTTGGGGAGGGGTACAGGTCCTCCGCACACCTTTAAGGGGGGACACCTCCTCCCCATTCTCTTTGGGGGGGCACACCTCTTTCCCTGTCGTTTTTGAGGGGCACATCTCCTCGGCAGTCCCACTTGGGGGGCACACCTTCTCCTGTGCACACCCTGTTGCGGGGACACATCTCCTCTCCAATCCTGTTTGGGCGGCACACGTCCTCCTCACACCCCTTTGTGGGGGCACACCTCCTCCCTAGAACCCCCATTTAGGGGGCACGACTCCTTTTCACACCCTTTTGGGGGATAGAGATCCCCTTTATCCAGTTTGGGGGGGGTCACACCTCCTTCCCACCCCCCATACTCCCTTTTTGGGGGACACATCTCCTTAGTCCTATTGGGGGGGGCACACCTTCTCCTTCCCGCACCTTTTACGAGGGCACACCTCCTCCCCAATCCCATTTGGGGGGGCACACCTCCTCCCAACGTCCCATTTTGGGGAAACACCTCCTCCACACTCCCCATTTTTTGGGGGGGGGGGGTACATCATCTCCCCAATCCCATTTATGGGGGCACATCACACCCCTCATTTGATGGGTACTCCTCCTTCCCACCCTGCATTTAGGGCTCACACCCCGTCCTTAATCCCATTGAGGGGGGACACCTCCCCACACCCATCTGGGGGGGCTTCAGCCCTCTCCCCTCCGTGGGCGGCCGCTGCAGCCTCGCCCGCGGCGGGGGGTGTGAGCAGCATTTCCCGCAAATTCCTAACTGGGATTATTGCCGGGGAGGGACGTGCCGGCGGGGCGACCCCCCCCTCCCGCCCCGAGCCGCGCCGGGAAGGGTTAATGCCACCGGGAAGGGTCAGTGCCACCCGGAGAGTCCCCGCAGGCCCGGGGATTTCTGGAGGCGTGCGGGAAGTTTACCTGAGGTGATGGGGATGGGGAGCCTTTTGTGTGCGGGGAGCGGGTAACAGGTACCTCCCGGGCTGAGGTTCGGGAGCGAGCCCCGCTATCCCGGATAATCACCCGCAGGAGCGGGAATGGGAGCTGCTGATGGCTTTCAGGCAATTAGCACATCAAACAAAAACCAGAGCAGCCTTCAGAATGTTTATTGAGAAGTTGAAAGCAGGCTCCTTTGTATTATTAGAAATTGTTTGAATAGGATCCTGATTTCCCTTTGTTGAGAGACACGCTTGGAAAAAAAGGAAAAAACCCTCCATTTTCAGCGGAGCAACTTTGGATGCTGGTTATGTCGGGAGATCTTATTTTCAAATGTGTTTCAACTTCTGGCTTAATTCACAGCGATTGTTAATTGGAGCAGGGTGTGAGGAGTGCAGCAAGTACAACTTTCACTCTCAGTTAAACAGTTCTCTTTTATGTTTAATTTCGGTCTCTTCCACACAGCCCCATCTGGTTCTCAGCTCCAATTTCTCCGCCGTTTCAAGTCGGAAAGGCAGATTTTGTAGCCTGACAGTCATTTGCACTTCTCAGGAGAGGGGTAGTAACTGGCAACAGTAGCAGGATTTAAAGGGTAATTACGGAATCGATAACGTGAGGCTGCGGCACAGGCTGGCTCAGGGGATGTGAGCACTGTGGGAAGCATCCCAGATAAAGCAGGCCTGCAGGCACACTCCAATGTGAGCTGAGGATTTCGGCAGGCTGGCTCCATAATGGTTTTGCAGCGTTGGAGGGATTGCTGTGCTCAGAGAGAAGCACACCTTGCCTTTCTTCTCAGCCCTTAATGCGACATGAAAGAGCAGCCGGCCCTGGGCCTTGGTTCTTAGCGCAGGAGCGAGGTGGAGCTGCTGTAGATAAGCCCTAAGAACAGGAAAAAATGGCCTGCCAAGAGAACTTGCAGAGGAAGGAATCCCAAAGAAATGCTGTAGGAATAATGGTGAAGGAATTAATGAGTTTGTCCCCAAGCCTTAGGATTGATGTGTTGGGTGGCTGGAGGTATTTTGCTGTAAAGATTTAAACTGCCTGAAAGCGTGTGTTAAGGCTTATGGTTGAAATTGGAACTGGACTGCAATTTGGGAGGTCAGGCTTTGATGCCTGGCGCTCTGCAGACCTCCTGTGAGAGCTTTTTACAAAGACAAGAAGGCTGAGATGGAGTCACTTGTGCTTTTCCAGCAAGTATTCACTATGTTCTGGGAAAAAATTTCAGGCTGGAGATGCAAAGTGTTTTTTGAGCATTAATTGTGATCACAGTCCTTGCTGCAGTTTGTCAGGGGGAAAATAAGGATGATACTTTCCCTAAACATTTGTCTGGAGCTCAGGAAGCTTTCTCTTTCCCTGTTCATTGTCTAACGTGCCCTTGGTTTGGCTCCAGGTCAACATGTAATATAGGTAATGACAAATAATGCTGCCTTTCTCAGTGGTAATTGGGACTTGCTAGGAAGAGCAAGACACTTATTTTCAAGCCTGAAGTGAAGAATGGGGTCGGGACTAAAACCAGCCCCTTTTTCTATGACCCTTCTGGTGCTGAAGCTGGGTTTTGGTAGGTTTAGTTTGGAATCACTGCTGCTGCTCTGGTTTGTGTAACAAATGTGCACAAGTTGGGTACCTTGTGTGTTTTTGTCTGTCTACAAATGTGGCTCTAAGATTTCCTTGATTTATCTTGTGTCTGAATCCCATTTGCCTTTTCTATGTTACATCTGTTTAATTCATTTCCTTTTTCCTGGCTGTGAAGTCTGCAATAGTATGTGGATTTTCACCATTAATTTAATTTGGTTTTTAAGGCATTTAATGGGATTTTTGTGCTTTGAGCCTGACGTGGAATACGCCTTCTCTGTTAGTGATCAGAGTAGGATTCAGGAGTGCAAATCAGAATTAGGTCAGTTTAGTGTTGGACATTGTACAGGCAGATATGTTAACTTGGTCTTTGAAAGTGAGATAGCAAAATATGTTTAGAATCATACAGGAAACATAATTTTCTTCTGGTGAGTGATATATTCTAGAGAATATCATAAACCACCAATTCATGATCTGATTTTTCCTGCTTCAAGATGAGTTTTCTGTCAGTGCTGTGAATTCTGTAAGCTGTGAACATCAAGTTCTGTCTCTGACACTTTCTAGAAATAAAGATTCCTCAATTAGGACTTCGCTGACAATTTAACTGATAAGTGAGGCAGAGAAACCGATCCCTCTTTTAGAGCTGCTTTCTCTGCAATGTTAATATTAGGAAGAAAATAGGTATGAAGCGGTGCTGGGAGCTATTTTTGTGGCAGCTTTGCCGTCGATAGCAGCGGTGTGCAGTCTGAGGCCCATCCCCACATGGGGGCTGTTGTGTTGTGCCTTCCAGCTCAGTTCTGTGCTCTCTCTGCTGACACTCCTGCCTCTGTCCCCACGCAGTGCACGGTGCAGGTGAAGCTGGAGCTGGGGCACCGGGCCCAGCTGCGCAAGAAGCCGACCACGGAAGGCTTCACCCACGACTGGATGGTGTTCGTGCGGGGCCCGGAGCAGTGCGACATCCAGCACTTCGTGGAGCGCGTCGTCTTCCGGCTGCACGAGAGCTTCCCAAAACCCAAGCGAGGTCAGAGGGGCTGGGCATGCTTTATCTCTATGAAACAGCATTTTGCAAGTCGAGGTTGTGTTGAACTGTCGCTTTTCTGTGAAATATCTCCTTAAAAAGGAGAGAAATGTCCATTGTGTGCGTTCCAGCTTTAACCTTTCCCCACTGTGTTGGAGGAAGGTCAGGGAGAATGGGACCTTTCTTCTGCTGAAAGGGCAGGAGGTGAGCTGCTTTCTCCTCTTATTTAAGCATTAGTAAGTGCAGGTTCTCCGGGCACAAGTGACAGCAGAAGATAATTCATGTCAAACAATGGGAAAGATGGGTTTGATTTGTTAGAATTCACCAGCAAAAGCTGGAAGCACATGAGAGATGCTCAAATGCGGGGTATGGAGAGTTTTGCAGATCCTTGCAATTTCTAGTCTCAGGTGCTAGTTCAGGTAGCTTTAACCCAGCAGAAATCAATGTTGCCGTGGGGTGATGATGTCTTTGCTGTACATTCCCCCTGCAAGCCCAGTGCAGTCATTGTGGTTGGGTTGGAGTGTTATTTTCTGGCTTTGTTTTCTGACTCTGGAGCAAAATGGACCTTATTCTTGGCATGGGGCAGCAGGAGCTCATGAGGTGGAGGAGCAGGAATTGCCCTTCTCAGGGGCAATGCAGTTACCTCTGTGTAGGACTGTGTAACTGAAGCTGCAGCCTTAGTGCTTTAAGAAATACAAGCTGCCCGTGAGAATTGTTGTAATGTGCATTTTTGGCAATACTGCTTTGGGAGCAGGACACTCAGGATGCGTTAGCACAACTGTGACATTGGGTATTTGTGGGAGTCCACAGTGGAAAGGAACTGAGGGGTGTTCAGCATTCACAAGGGTGTGACTCTGGTCTGTGTGTTGAAAAAATCTCCTTCAAACTGATCTGTTAAAACTGATGTATGACAAGCAGGTGTAGGACTGAGCTGAAAGCTGATTTATAGAATAAAAATGCAATCTGTGGGTTACAGTTCTTGTCCTCTAGTGTAATTAATTTATTACAAATAACTGTGTTGGGATAGTACATAGAATCCTGGAGTGGTTTGGATTGGAGGGGCCCTTAAAGCCCATCCCATCCCACCCCCTGCCATGGCAGGGACACCTTCCACTGTCCCAGGCTGCTCCAAGCCCTGTCCAGCCTGGCCTTGGGCACTGCCAGGGATCCAGGGGCAGCCACAGCTGCTCTGGGCACCCTGTGCCAGGGCTGCCCACCCTGCCAGGGAACAATTCCTGCCCAATCTCCCATCCATCCCTGCCCTCTGGCAGTATAAGCCTTTGCTCAGTCAGTTGCTGTATCATCTGCCTTTCCAGGGGTATTTTCTCCCAGTCCCTGGGTTTTCCATTTTTCCTTGAGCTTGCTCCTAATGCCAGCGTGCCTTTGACCAAGGCGTGTCTGGGTTGTACCTCAATGCTGTAGCAAATGCCTCTCCTAGTCCTGAGTTTATTTGAAGGGTTTCTTCAGATGGTGTCCTCTTGGAGCAGATCCTGGTGCTGAAGGTGGGCTCGTGCTGCTGGCAGATTGCTCTTGGAGCCCTTGGAATTTGTCAGAATAGAGTGGCAGAGGAACAAAGGCTGCTTGGCAGATAAGCTTAAGATTCCTGCTGCCATATTGGCACTGCTCTTTGGTTTGGGATTTTTCCCTCTAAACGACAGGGTTCTTATATGAAATTCAAGTTAAAGCAAGTCTAGAGGTTTTTGTTATTTTTAGTGATGCCCTTTTTTCTCAGCTGCATTTGGAGTGCTGCTTTCCAGCACCTTAATGATGGTAGAAGTGCTTAGAGCTGGGAGGGGATAATACAGCTACATTAAAGGAAAATAATTTGTGTGCTTTTAGGTTTGATGTACTGTTTCCTAATCATATTAATTACTTGGAATTCTTAAGAGAAACTCAAAAGATTTGCACTGAATTCCTCTAATTACCTAATTGACTTTATTTACATATATTGTAGTGCATAAATTATATGCAAGTGCATCCGGTTCCTGAGAGGGAGAATATCTGTGTGGGTCTCATGTTTCTTCTGGCAGCTGCTGTGTGCTGCTACTTCATGGCCAAAGAAATTATCCTGGAATCCTTCAAACTGGATATCCTGGAATGGATAATAGGAAGGATTCAGGAGCATGAACCCACACCAGATAGCGGGACAGGGGGAACCGAGGCAGGGACATGCAGATTAATTTCTGAGAAGCAATTAACTTTTCTAATTGCTGTTTCTGCACTAAGCAGCTCTGACCTTAACAGCAAACTGGTTCACCTTCCTCCTCGTGTTTCCTTGTGTGTGAAATAAATAGCAGTGCTCACCTGCCCTTCAGGTTTGTTCACCTGTGGGGCAAGCAGCAGCCTGGAGTGTGGCTGTTACCCAACTGTGAGCATTGAGGAGTGCAGGGGAGTGTTTCAAGGAAAAAGTAATCACCTGCTTGTGTGTGGTAGTGTTTTGATTCAGAAATATGGGCATCAAAGTAAAGTTTACCTTTCTGTGCTGTTCCACCTTTTGGGTCTTGGCCTTTCCTTGCCAGGCACTTGGAACTGGCAGTTTGCATTGTTGTGGGCCTGGCCAGAAATGTAATTGTATCTGGGTGCACAGGAGGGGAAGGATCTCAGTGAGACTCGGGCCTGCAGTGTTTTATGTTTCCGTTCCATGGGAGGAGCCAAGAACAGATTTCATGTTCTTAACTAAGCCTGTGGCCACCATCTTATTCTGTGTGGGTTTTTCCACAAAGGTCAGTGTTTTAACTGTGCCCTGAGTCGTCAGAGGCCCAGTTCTCCTCTTGCAGCTCCTTTTTGGCTCAGATAAAGTTGTACTGAATTCCAAGCTCACATTTATTTGTTCTCTTTCAGTGTGCAAAGAGCCCCCCTACAAGGTGGAGGAGTCTGGCTACGCTGGCTTCATTATGCCCATTGAAGTGCACTTCAAAAACAAGGTAGAATCTGATTTCTGGTCTTCTAATTGTTTTGAGCTGTGCCAGAGCCTGAAACTGCCCGACAGAAAGACTCTAAATTATGTGACTGTTTTATGTGTGTGTTTTTTATTACTCTAATAAATAGAATTTAACTGGGAGTTGGAAGCTCCTGCCAGACTTCAAAAGAAAGCTTTTGGCAGAAATGGAATTGGATAGAAAGGTAATACCAGGACAGTGGATGGTCCTGGAGATTCTGAGCAGAGATTGCACCACTTGTAGCTTCTTTAGCGTGGAGGATATTAAAGCAATTTAAAGTATTTTATGTACATATGGAAGAAAATAAACATAAAATACTGATGCTATAAATTTTGTAAACACTGTTGATTCTCAATGTATTAAAAAATCTGCTTTTGAACTTGCAAGCTTATTAAATTTAACTGTGTAGGTATGAAATCTGCAGAGGCCCAAGACAAACATTTGCATGTGTAGCACAAGTATTTAGACCTGTCTTAAAGATATCCTTGTTCTTACTCAGTGCTCTTCCAGAAAGAAAACACTAAATATTTTAAGTCTTAAGATGCATTGCCAGCAAGTATATGAAGGTTAAAATTTGGATTTATTGCTTGCTTTAAGTCTACCACAGAGGTCACATGCTGTAGGTTATGAAAACAGGGAATTGGGCACTTGTGTTCATATTACCTCAGTTTCAGTTAAATTGTTTTGTTAAACATGAATAATGGATGTTTCTGGGTTTGATTACTGCTTAAATAATAAAATAAAAACTAATGTTTTGCTTATGATCCCTGAGAGGAATCTGAGGTAAACTAAACCAAATATGTTGAGCCACATCCCTGTAATCTGTGCTCTCCCACCCCCTCAGTTCTCTGAGCACCAGCCCTTACCCCAGGTGTGTTGACAGCAGACCACATGTATCAACCTCATTCTGTTTAGCTTCCCATCTTCCTTTCCCTGTCCCTCCCACAAACATCTGTCTGCTGTTCCCTTCTGTCCCCACTCCAGCCCAGGATGCTCTCCTGGCAGTGTCACTCTGTGAATAATCAGCATTTTGGGCTGGGTTCTTGGCCTGCCACATTGCTCTGACCCCACCTTATGGGTTGGAGGAATAAGCCAGATAATGGGACTGAGCCGCAGAAGACTGAGTGTCCTCCTAAACCTGGGAATGTTTTGCCAAAAAGTTGTTTTTTGGGTGGGTAGGGTAAGCCAAAAGGCTTGGGAAGAAGAATGGCAGGTAGGGGCTGGGGGGTGACTGTTGTTGATAAAAGCAGCTTTTTTGACAAACACTGGAAATTATGACTTGAGTGCAGCACAAACACCTCAAAAGCTTGACAGCAGTTCTATTTCTGGTGGCTTTTCTGAGGTTTTAGATGGGAATCAGAAAATTCTCCATCTGCACTAAATATTGGCTTAAGTCAGGTTCAATATCCTTCACACTCCTGACCAAAAAATGTGAATTTCTCCAGGCTGATTCATGTAACCTCTAATGCCTGGGTGGGGTGAACTGTGTTTAAGTTCTACCCTTTCCTTTATTTTTCTCTTCCTTTCTTCACCCAGCCATTGCCACTCTTCCCTTCTCCCTGCAGCTCTCCAATGGTTTCTCTCACAAATTCTCAGAGCTCCCTCACTTCTGTGTCTTTTCATAGGTGCTCATGTTTGCTGTGACTGCCATCTGCATTCCTGTGTTTTCTTTTCCCTCTGTCCCTCATACTCCTTGTTCCTCATGGAATATGGAGCTGGCAGCTCTTCTGACTAGAACTTGCTTTCACACCCACTGGGGTCATCACTCCTCATTGTTTCTCCACACACGTGACTGCAGAGTTGTTCCCCAGCACTGAGCAGAGAGGTGGCTTTTATAAATAAGGGAAATAGGTGGGCTCTGTTCTCCCTAGAAACAATGGAAGGAGCTGTTAATTTAGGATAAAGCTCTTTGTTTCTGACATTTTGGTCTTCAGAAACATGACAAATAGGAGAACAGGTTGAGTTGCAGACTTGTTTTCAAATCTACAGATCTTCAAAACGCTCATTTTTTGCCCTGTTTTTTAGCTGCATGTTTTCTGGAGAAGGTCTTTTCCATTTTTAAGCTGATTAACAAATTGCTAATTAAGGAGTTTCAGGCAGCACCTCTCATTATTTAATTGGGCCAAGGGGTGATTGAGGGAAAAGGTGGAAAAAGTTCCATCTTCCAGCACATCATTGGAGCAAAGATGTGTTTTCAGATTCAGCCATGAACTAACTTAGGATTGCAGGGAGCTCAGAAGCTGCTGCTGAGGGGTGACAGCTCCTGGAGCCCAGCAAGGGCTGGAGCTGTGCCAGGCCTTGGCATGGAGCTCAGGGAAAGGTTCTTCCCCCCGAGGGTGCTGGCACTGCCCAGGCTCCCCAGGGAATGGTCCCGGCCCCGAGGCTGCCAGAGCTGCAGGAGCGTTTGGACAGCGCTCTCAGGGCTGCTCAGGGTGGGGCTGTTGGGGGGTCTGGGCAGGGACAGGGGCTGGGCTGATGATCCCTGAGGGTCCCTTCCAGCTCAGGATGTTCAGTTGGGTCCTCTGTCCACCACTGCCCAGTGATGATGCCATCTGGGAATTTTAAGAGCTCTGATCATTTTCAGTAAGTGGTGTTGAAGGAAATGTGAGAGGTAAATACTTCTGCAAAGACAGGAATGCCAAGACTGGGATATAAAAAGAAATATAAAAATTAAAAAGAGGAGGAGGAGGAATGGAAAAGGTTTAGGATACCGTCTGTGTTCTCCTGAATTAAAGAAGATGGTGTTAAAACACCAAATAAAATCTTCATTACTTCAAGGCCTTGTTCTTACTCTGAGCTGTGTAAACCTGTTGACACTGGTGGGGATCAGCTGGTGTGAGTGCAGCAGATATTGTGAATTGATTACAGCATTTGGGACTCATCCTTGAGTAATTCTCTTCAAGTAGATGATATGGATTGGTTCTGGGACTGGGGTGAAAAGGCTCTTTGGAGGTGACTGGGCAAGGGGAACTGGGTGGGTTTTGAGGCCATATGTTCTTCACAATCTGACACGTTTTTGTTGATGTGTGTCCTCAGCTGAAGCCAGACTTGCAGAGGCTTTGGGATTTGTTTATCGATGCATGTTTAGCTTTGTGAAGGTGAGAAGAGAAAGGATTTAAAGAGAGAGTGAGCCAGTCTGTGGAGATTGATCTTTGCCATGGTTGGCTGAAATGGGGTTTTTTTCCACAGTTTTAAGTCTCCTTTCTTAGCCATTTCCTTTCCCTGTTCTGATTTGTTACTGGGATGACAAATCCTGGCTGTCAGAGCCCGTGTGCTCTTTGCTTTGGCTGAAGAAATACCAACCTGTGCTCTGGGAAGGAACAGCTTTACTAAGAACTGTTCTAATGAACTTCATCAGGGATTTTTTAAGCAACTTGGCATAAAATTGCCAATTGACTCTTTGTGTTGGAGGACTCCCTTTTTGTTGTCATTGTGTGTGTTTGGAGCAGCAGACTCTGTGCTCTTGGTGCCTTTTTGTGGGTGGGAAAGTGTCAGCAGAGTGTGAAAAAGGTGCAAGAGCCTGTTCTTATCCTCTGTGAACATTGCTGGCCTGTGTTTGTCCTTCTGCTGCAATCCAGCTCCTCCATGAGTAGTGATTTCTCAGCGCTGGTATTTGAATTGCAGAATATAAATTGTGAATATTGCAGTGAGCCTGGGCAGTTGGGGGCTCTGAGCAGCCACAGCACTTGTAGTCTCCTCTAACACTGGCAGAGCCTTTGCTGCTGTAACTGATCCTGAAAAACAAATGGCAGGGGCTCAGCAGGTTGATTGATAAAGCTTTTGGAAGTCGAGTTGGCTAATGACAGCAGATCATTTGGACTGGAAATGTTAGTGTGCTATTTTTGTTTTGAAATCCTTTGTGTTCCTGTAATGAGGGCTGCTGTGAGTGGCTTCTGGTGCTCAAATCGATACAAACCCGGTACAACAAATGCGTTGCTGTTTTTCTCCTGCTCTTCCCCTTCCCTCTCCCCCTCAATTTCAGCAGTCTGGAGGCTTTTTTTCATTGTTGTCTCCAAATAAATCTCTTCTAGTGGTACACTTTGTAATCTGGAGGCTGTAATACAGGTCTGGCTTTGGTATTCATTCCCAGTGACATTTTTTGCATCCTAATCAAATTAGATCAATCCTCCCCACAAAGCTAAAGGTCTAGTAGATTTTCATGTTATTCTGGTATAAGGCAGATGATATTAATGCAACATGGATAAGATGTTGTATTAAAGTCTTTTTAAAGATGCTACCTCCTAATTTTAGTGCTAGAGATAAAAGCCTTCCAGGATTTACATAATGGATACATGGAACTTGGGCTTTTTCTATTAGTGAGAAGGAGATAAGCAAAGAAAGCGTAAAAATGAGTTTGATTTTTCCAGTGAGGTTCAAAAGAAAAATATTCATATTTTACCCCTTCTGCAACCTTTGTAGAGGTGATGTAGAAAACAAATAGAGAAATATTGGAAAAGGGGAAAATTATTTGTGTATCAAAGTAGGAACTCAGTGGAGACGTTGTAGGTGGGCTGCACATATGGCAGGGGAGGTGAAATAGGATCAGCTACAACTGGTGTCAGGACTGTGCCATCAGGAAGGGATTGGTCTGGGAAATACTCCTGGGGAAGGCTGGGGCAGGTGTTGGCCAGGGAGTTGAAGAGCCTGTGTTTGCATGAGACATTTGATTTTACTGAAATTGCCATTTTGGGCAGGATGTGCACAGGTTTGAGGAGAGGAGGAGTAGCTTCAGCCTGTTGGAGTTCACTCAATGTTGCTGAAAGTAGGGGAAGTAGGAGTGAAACTTGTCCTTTTGTCTGCCCTTTGAGGGAAACGTTTTAGGTCTGTCCTGTACCATCTTCCTTCCCAAACCTGCAGCAATTCCTTTTGTCCTGCTGCTGTTGTCCGGGGAATCTTTGTTTTTACCTTTTTCTGTCAGAAATGAGGATGGATTATCAATCTACCCATTCTTTTATCTGAGCAGGGCCACACCTGGGCTGTGTGTGTTTGAGTGGGCATTCAGTGTGGCACATCCATAGGCACCTCCAGATGCTGAAAATAACTATATATATTTATATTTATATATATATATGTATATTTGCAGTGTGTGGCAAAGCTGTGTTTGTAAAGACAGCAGCTTTATCAGCCATGCCAGCTTCATATCATGTATTTGTAAGATTTAGTAGATTAAGGGCTTGTCTTGCAGTAGTGAGTAGATAAAGAGATGTATTTACAGTAATCTATATTATTTATACTCAAATAATTATTGTACTCATTTATATATATAATAAAAATATATTAGGAAAATCTGATTTTCAAACAAAGTAATAAACATCTGATGGAGGAAAGTCCTAAATGCTTAGTCCTGGAGAATCTCCCAAAAGATAAGGGTGATTAATGGATTCCTGAGTGGAACATAAGGCTGATTATTTCAAAATCTGAATATTGGGCTATTCCCTTTCCAATGCCCTGTCTGGAAGCTGCTCCAGGACCAGTCAGACAGGTTGGACCAGCCTGGGAAGGGGTTTAATTTCTCCAGACGTTCTGGATAAATGCCTCTGTCAGGCTGGATCTACAGCAAAAGGGAAGTGGTGTTAGATGTTATAGTTATTGAATAACCATGAGCCTGCTTCCTTGGTGTGCTAGATTTTTGTAGATAATTTTGTTTTATGGCTTTCTAAAAGTGATTTATGAGCTTTATGCGCACGCTACCAGTGAAATTCTTTTGATTTGTGTTAAGTGGCAAAGGGCACACCCTGCCTTAAAAACAAGACAAGGAAATTTTAACAAAAGACTTAAAAAAATTCTTTATCTTACGAAAAGTGCCAGAAGAACTTTAACCCATTATTTCAGAACTCAAAGGAAAAATAAAGCAGCTTCAGAGCTCGTAACAGCGCAGTGGCAGGCGGTGCAGACAGGAAGCAGTAAAAATAAAACCTAATGTACCCAGCTCAGGAGATTGGAGGTGGAATAGGGGGATTCACTGGATGAAGGGAAGTTTACAGCAGCTGCAAATAAAAGCCCTGGCTTTGTGGTGCTCACTTGTAGTTTACTTCTCTGGCATCCTGGGATTTTAGGGGCAGATGCAAAGTGAGGTTCAGAGGTGCCTTGCTGAGACATCCCTGCACCAACTTAACTATTTTATGGCCAAATGAGCCACTGAATTTGAATCTGAACAATTCACATCTACCAGGTAGAAATGGATGTGAACCACCTTTTTAAAAGCTTTTCTTGGATGTAGGGACCTTTAGAAAAGTTTATGGTCTTGGGAGGAGCAAAGTCTCTTCCCTTGTCAGTTTTTCTGATTGACATCAAGGAATATCAGAAGGTGAAATTCTCTGAGAGCAAAGCTTGCCTTGTGTGTGTAGTTGCTGCTGAAGCAGGAGTCCATGAAGGGTGTGTAGGATTGTCTGAACCAAAGTTTGTAGGGTGAGAAAGAACCTCCTGTGAGTTGCAACAGGATGTGTGGATCCCAACATGTTATTGAGAAAGGCTTTGAAGTGTGGCACTGTGGACTCAGCCTGGCTTTTCATTTAAAGTTAGGGGATGGGTAGGTCTGGGTCAATTGAGAGAGATTTTCCTTGGGTTCCTCCCCCCCTTCTTCCCCTTGATGGTTGTTTGGGGGGGAAGAACCTTTTAGGAAGGACCGGATGGATTAAGCTTTGGAGTGGCCTGAGCTGTAATCATTAGCTGGGCAGTGAGGGCAGTAAAGGAAAGAATGTTTATTTGCAGCTTTTTGCTTTGAGAGTTTTGTGGTGGTTCTTTTAGGAGTGCTGTAATCTCAGCTATTCACTGGGGGGGGGGCTCCTTATGGCCTGGGGGATACAAAGGAGGTTTTAATGATCAGGGCACTCTGCTGGGGCTCCTTCCCAGGGCAGTTGTGATCTCTGAGCTGGAGGAATAGCACATTAAAAAACTGCCTTAATTCTACAAAAATTCAACAGACACACCGTAAATATTTTGGTGCTTGTGAAAAAAAGCACCAAAAAATAGGATACCCAAGGTGAGAGGGAAAGGGATCTTGCTGCCTCTCTCCTGCTTGGAAAGCAAATGGGCACATGACAAAGCAGAGCTGGTAATGGGATGGCAAAACATCTCCTGACCAAAGCCTGCGACTGCTGCTAGAGCCAAGATTATTTACTCTGTTGTAAACCAGGGAAAGCATTTTAGAAGCCATTATTAGGCCACGTTTGGATTTCTATTCATCCTTCATTTCAGTTTATTAGGCTTTGAGGGACCCTGTGCAGCTGCTGTTTGAACTGCAGCAAGCGCACACGCAGAGCTCACTAATGATTCAGTTAATGAGAATGGGCATGGAAAACAGGCAAATGACAGGGCAGTGTATTTTGCAAGGATTTTTCTTTTTCCTTCCATGTATCTGTTTTAGTAAACTCCCTTCAGGAGCATGTGGATTCCTCAGGACTTTCCAAAAGAGGGTCTGAATACCTGGTGTTGGCAGCACATTAATCTGAGACTCTCCTCTGTGTCTATTGATTCCTGCCCCTGGTTGAGGGTGAGGATCCAAGACCTCGACTCCTAGATGAGCTCAGGGTACTGATTTTGGTGTGAACCAGGTGTAGCTACCACCCTTTGCATTGTTAGAGGTGTAGTTTGTCCAAGGAATGCCCTCTGGAGCAAACAGCAGGAGCCGGGGTGGTCTGAAGCCATTTCAACCTATTTTCAGCAAATCTAATGGCTGGGGCTGGGAGCCTGCAGTGCCTGTTCCCATCCAACAATGCCACTGCACCAGGAAATGGAGCTGCTGGAAGGGAATTCTGGAAAAGACTGCTGTGCAGCTGCTCAGTGCTGCACAGGGAATGAGGCACATGGGATGCATTCATGGAAATGCGCAGGGCACTGCCGGCCTCGCTGGGCTTCCCAGCAGAGTCTCTCTTGCCACACTGAATTTCCAGCTTGGAAATGCAAACTGTGAGAAACACCACGCAGTGTCCTGTCGATATTTGTAATACAGAAGAAGAGTATTTGCAATTTTGGGGGTGGGGGAAAAAAAGAGGGGGATTTCTTCCATTCTGTGCTGCAAACGCAGCAGGTGGAACAGAGGCAGTGAGGCGCAGATGATCCCCCCACCACGCATACAGACTCTGGATTGCTTGGGTGAAAGTGCCCTTGGAAAGTTCAAAAGCCTGGGATATCTTCCCATTCAGCCCCTGCAATATGCATATTGAAAAGGATTTTACAAACCAAGCCATCCTTTTCCCATTGCGTTTAATCTTTTCTCGGTGCCCGCAGAGATCCTGGGAGTTCAGAAGTTGTTCCTTCTCTCAAAAAGGATTATGCTTTTCTTAATATTGATACTTAGAGTTGCTTCCCAAAGGAGATAGGATCTGAATTTTGGTGAAAACAGTAGTGCATAAAGCTTGTGAATCTGCTTTTCTGGGGAGACTTGAACAGCTTTAAGCAGACAATTTTCAGTCAAAATCTGTGTCTGTGCATTGCTTTTGCAGTGAGAAGCCTCATGCCCGAGTTCCTGATGAACAATGTTAACCTCAAGCATAAATAGTTTAATTTCCAGCTCTGTGATCTCATGGTGAAAAACTCCATGAATGCAACACTTGGTGGTTTATTTGGGATTTTCAGGAGTGACTGTTCGCATCCCCATATTTAATGTGCTTGCCAAGCTACTTCCAGTTTCCCAAAGCCTTTCTTGTTTTTAGGAGGAGCCCAAAAAGGTTTGTTTCACATATGACCTGTTCCTAAATCTGGAGGGGAACCCACCTGTGAACCACCTTCGTTGTGAGAAACTGACTTTCAACAACCCCACCAAGGAATTCAGGCGCAAACTCATCAGGGCTGGAGGGGTAAGTGCCCAATTTGGGATCCTAAAAGGAGTGGGCTTGTTTTGCTCTGAGGTTTCTTTAAGGCCAGCAGGCTTCCAGCAGTTTTCTACATTCATTTAAAAGATGACCTAGCCAGGTTATAGGGCTGCAGTACTTGCAGCAGAACAAATCTGTTGTTGGTGTGTGATTGGTGACACTTCTTTTTTCAGTTCTATTGTGAATATTAATATCAAAGCAGAAAACCCCTCTGGAAAGTGGGATCTGCTGTGGATGTTACCTGGTGCCAGGAGCTGGGTCAGTACAGAAAAGCTCAAGGAAAGAGAGAGGCTTTCAGACCATTCCTTATTAATATTTTTTAACTTAATAGTTAGTGCTTCCTAGTCAATAAATGACCTCTAAACCTGGCATCAGCTACTTATGGCTTAGATAATAAAAAAAATAATGAAAAATTGGACAATATAGAGTGAAAACAGGTGTGGGAGGGGGGAAATAGATATTTTCTAGAAGGCCCAGTGAAGTACAGATTGCTGCAGTAACTCTACCCTTCCGATTGGGAGGGTAATGAGCAGTGATAGACTAAAGGATGGTCCTCAAATGATCTGGGCAAATCAGTCCAAGCCACAAAGTGCAAGAGGTTTTTAATGAGCCAGAGGTTGTCAAGGCCAGGTTGGACAGGGCTTGGAGCAACCTGGGATGGTGAGAGGTGTTCCTGCCTATGGCAGGGTGTGGAATAAGATGAGCTTTAAGGCTTTTTCCAGTCCAGATCACTCCATGACTGTGTGCCAGTGCTTTCCTGTATTGGGCAGAGAGAGGAAGGTGCTCATTTCAGCCCTGAGATGGCTGGAATATCATCTGCTCTCTAGGATTTTCACAGTGTGGTATTTTAGTCCTTGTGTACTGAGGTGTTTTGGCTGTTAATCACTTTTGATGCCCTTTCTCTGGTGGCAGTTTTCCACAGAATGACCTGACAGTGTAGGGAAGGTAAGAAAGGAATTGTTCCATGGAGCTCAGTGCTTCTTGGTGCTAAGATTTTGTGAAGGGAGAGACCCAAGCCCTGGTTTGTTGTTTTGGTTTTTTTTTTCCTTTTTGCACTGAAAGAGTGAATTCAGCTTCTCCCAAGGAAATCTTGCTCATTCCTTCCAGATTTATCTCCGTACCCTTTTTCAGGGGAAGAGCATTTGCAGCAGAACACACAGTTCTTGTCCAGAGCTTTATTGCCTGCCTGTGCTCAGAATATTGGCATTCCCTTTGGGAAAGACACTCGATATTGCATTGCTGCCTTTCAGTTTTGTGGGTTTAATATTCTGTATTTGAGGACTTGCCTTGAAACTGAGCATTCCATAGACAATATCTTTTTATGGCTTTTAAGCAGGCGAGGAAAAAAACATTGAAAAGATGAATAATAGTGTGTTAATTGAGCAAGTGGCTTAACATAATCATGTGTTAATAGTTAATAGTCCGTGAGACTTTGTGCAGACATAATTTCCCTCCTCTTTATTCCCAGGTAATGGTGATGCCAGAAGGAGCAGAGACTGTTTCAAGGCCAAGTCCCGATTATCCGATGCTGCCCACGATACCTCTCTCTGCCTTCTCTGATCCCAAGAAGACCAAACCCTCCCATGGGTCAAAGGTCAGTGCAGCACATGTTTGGGTCAGCCTGAGGTGAGGGAGTCTTTCAGGCCAGGCTGCTGAGAGCTTGTTCAGCAGCTGTTCCTGGCTGCTGCTAATTCTGAACCTCCTTGTACTCTGCAGTTCAGTAGTTAATGGTCTGGAACTTCCCAGCCTCTAGGAGGCTTTTTTATGATCTGATAGACTTCTCTCCAGGGAAGTTTTGAAAAGAAAATTAAATGTGCCAGACTGGGAATTTTGGTGAATCGTATCTTCCTGAAAGGCAGACAAAATGCTCTCAGATTGTTGTGGTTGTGTCCCTGATGCTGAGGATGGATTCTGGGGCTCTCTCACTGTCTGCCATGCCCAGCTGCACTCTGAGGCCCTGCAGGCAGGAAGGCTGAGTGGAAAGTCAGCCCTTCCTCTGTCCTCAGGACAGTGCTGGAGAGAACATCAAACATGCTTTACTTGGTCCAACGGGTGCTTTCCAGACTGGATGTTGTGTCCAGCAGTAGCCAGGTCCTGAGACTTCCAAAGAACCTCAAGATTTTTGGTTTTTTCCCTTATATACTGAAGCTATTTTTGTATAATCCTACATGGGAGAAACAATCCCCAAGCAATGTGTTTTGGAGCAGATTACATGCACTGTATCAGCCTGAGCAGTCACAGGTATTAACAACAATTCATTTTCCAGTGTAATTCAATTCTGATAGCTATGTTCTTCAGGGCTCTAAACACTCTGGCACTTTAGTTATGCCTTCTGATCTTATGAAACAGAGTGAAGATTACTTACCTGTTAGTGGCTGATTTAATTTTGGTCAGGAATTAAGAGCTGGAAAAGACAGCAGAGAAATAAATGTCTCTGAGATGAGCTCTGGTGAAAATTGCCAGTTGCTAAAGAGACAGCATTCTCCTGCTTCCCTTCCAGGTGCCCTGAGAGGTGCATCTGTTTGCATTCAGGTTAAAGCTGAATTAAACATCTGTAGATGTTCTAGACCTTTGAGAGACCCTGGAAAGGAGCAGAACCTGTTTCACCCTTTCCTAAATGTTGAAGTGCCGCTGCCAGTTTGTGTGCAGCAGCTTGAGGGAAGTGTGGATGTTTACCTGGGCATGTGGGGGTGGATTTCTACACAGAGCAAACACTGCCATGTGATTTATGAGGATGTGTTTTATCATTCTGTGCAGAGCTGCAGTTTCATACCCAGCTTGCATGTTTCTGTTGCTGAATTTTAGGATGCAAACAAGGAAAGTAGCAAAGCATCCAAGCCACATAAAGTAACCAAGGAGCACAGGGAGAGGCCCAGGAAAGACTCTGAGAGCAAAAACTCCTCCAAAGACCTTGAGAGAGAACAGAACAAGCCTTTGAAGGACTCCTCCAGAAAACCAACTGAGAACAAACTTCCTAAGGAGGAGAAGGCACCTCCAAAAGCTGCTTTCAAGGAACCAAAACTGGCCGTGAAGGAGACCAAACTGGAGAACACCTCTCCGAAGGGGGGGGCACAGCCGGAGTTAAAGTCTTCCAGCAAGAGGCCCTCCAACGTGGAGTCACCAAAGCCTAGTGCCAAAAAACAAAAAAAGAGTAGCTCCAAAGGGGTAAAGAATATCCTGGGGACATCTCCCAGAACCTCGTCTTCCTCATATCCAGAGAAGAAACAAACCAAGGAGAAGATGAATGCCAAAGTGGAGAAGGTAAAATCTGAGAGCGAGGCCAAGGAGATCAAAAAGCCTGTGGAAATGGAGGAGTCAAACTCAGAGGATGAAACTTCTTTCAAGTCAGAGGTGAGTAGGGATTTATTCTTTACCAGAGTTTGGAAGGATAATGTTAAACCCCTGCCTGAAAAAGATGGTAATAATCTCTCAGAGAAGATAGAGAAGCAGATTGGTAAATGCTTAGGCTGGGTTGCATCTCAAATAAAATTGTTCTTTGAAACTCCAGTCAAAATTAAATGTTCCTCCTGTGTGGTTTAGCTCCTGTTTCAGCTACAAACTTAGTGAGATTTATCTGCTGGCAGTTACCTAAAAGTCAGAGTTTAAGGTTATGGTCCCTCATTCATCCCTTGCAGTGACATCTACAGAGCTACAAGAGATACAGAGACAATTTCTGCCTGCTCATGGTAGCAGTGTTGTAGAATGTGATCTTATTTCAGAAAAGAAGGAAATAATCTCAGTTTTGGTAATGAAAAAAACCCGGTATTAAAATGTAAATAAAGCCCCTCTTCCTGCCGTGGCCTGTAAGAAATGTGCCATTGGCTGAAGCTCAAAATACAACCACATGCCACTAAATTTAAATAAGTTGTGTTGTGAAACATAAAACAAATTATGTTCTTGTACTACTATTTTTAAAAGCTGTCTAAATATTTTTTTCCTTTTTACAACTGAGAACATTCCTCATCCTCTGTTTTCTAGAAAGTGTTTTTCAAAAGGCAAAAAAATGCAAGAAGGAACAGACAAATCCAAACTCCTGCTACTTTTCACTTGTATATTTGTTATAAAGAAGCCATATATCTTGTAATAGGGTTCACAGGATAATGTCATGGGAATTCTGGAACTGATTCCTCCTGACAACTTTAAGAAAGGTTTATTTTATTAAGATTAATTTTCCAGGGACAGTTTGTATTATGATTTAATCAGCTCTGTGATACAACAAATACTGATGTATTTGTCGGAAAGGTTTTTTTTTCTTCAGGACTCCCAGTACAAGAATTTATTGGGCAAGTATTAATTCCACTCTGCAGAGAAGTCACATCCCTGGAAGTGTCCAAGGCCAGGCTGGATGGGGCTTGGAGCAGCCTGGGATAGTGGAAGGTGTCCCTGCCATGGCACAAGATGATCTTTAAGGTCCCTTCCCACCCAGGAGCTGTGTGACAGACAGGGAGCGGTGGCAGCCGAGGTTCCTGTGGAACCTGAGCCCCGGGGCACAGCTGCAGAGTGGCTGGCAGCAGTACTGGCAGCAGCACCTCCTGCAGCCCGGGGGGATCTCCCTGCTCCCAGCACTGCTGGTTGTGCCCCAGGGTTTCTCCTCTCCTGACACAGCTGTGTGTGCAGCCCGGTGGGGGCCACATCACTGAAGTGAGGGAGCAGCTGGAGGTGGACCAGGGCCCGGAAACTCTTAAAGCAGCTCTGCTGCTGCAGCCAGGGGATTGTGCAACAGCTCCACGGTGGCTCCCAGCTGACATCGTTGTGGGCTGCTGTGGAGAGGAGCAGCCCTGCTCCCATTTGTGTTCCTGGCCTGGGAGCTCAGAGGGAGCTCCCTCCTCCTGCAGAGGGATGAAGGAGCTGCTATTTCAGCTCCTGCTGGAAATTACTTGGCCTTTATTTTTTTCTTTTAAATTTTTCTTTTCCTTCCCCCATCAAGTCCAGTTCCCTGAACTGGCCTCATGCTTGGCTGCCTCAGTGCTGACAAAAGGGAGAGGCAGGGATGGGAGGCAGCGTTGCTTTTTGCTTTGGTCACATCCCAGTGACAGTCACTGAGCACACGGAGCGTGTCCATTCTGCCTCAAAGAGCTGATGGTGTTAATACCAAAAGGAGAGATGGGTTATCTCCAGCACCTGCTGCTTAGCTCCTGTTAAGTTAATTTTGGAATTCTAAGGGAAGACCTGCAGATTACCAGGAATGAGGGAAGATTGGAGCTGTGGGTCAGATACAAGAGCTGTGCTCTGTTAGCTTGAAAATATTCATAAAATCCCACAATGGTTTGGGTTATAAGGGACCTGATCATTCATCCATCCCCTGCCATGTCAGGGACACCTCCCACTGTCCCAGGCTGCTCCAAGCCCTGTCCAGCCTGGCCTTGGGCCCTGCCAGGGATCCAGGGGCAGCCACATCTGCTCTGGACAACCTGTTCTCTCTCTGCTTTCCACTTCAATGTTGGAATTCCCCTAAACAGCCAGGGCTGCTGCATTGTGCCAGTAGACCTGATATTGGAATTGTTAAATTACTCTCCTTTGCTTCTGAACTCTTTCCAAGGGTTGTAATACCATTTTTTGACAGATTTTTCCCCTTCTTAGAGTGAAATAATGAAACTCTTGCCAATACTTGGTTGACAGTGTGGCCAGCAGGACCAGGGCAGGAATTGTGCCTCTTTTTCCCTGTCTAAAGGTTTTTAGAATGTATCTGTGACTCTTCAGCATCAGGAGTAGTAAGTGGATTCCTCTAAACAAAACAGTGAAACTGAAATGCTGATTTCCAGGGAATTACTTTTTAAAAGGCAAGATACTACAGTACGTTGAGAATCTTTGAACTAGAACCTGCCTGAGTACCAAAAAAACTCATTTTAAGGGGATTTTAGGAGCTGCTTGGGGGAAGAGGGAGTTGCTGTGGCCTCTTCTGCCCTCTGGTGGTTCCCGAGGGTATTGCAGGTGATTGCTGCTCAGTACCGGGTTTACGATTAAATTTCCCAGTCTTACCCGAATTTCCTTCCTGGATGCTGCTGTTACCAGTCCGTTTACTCTTCACTCACTCTTACTGCACAGATACTCCTCTTATTTCTGCCAAGTGCTGACACACAAGTTGGGGTCACAAGGATTGAGTTGGTCTCTGTTATATTTTCACATTTAAGTGGATCCAGTACAGTGGATCACTCAAATTGTGTAGAAACAGGTGGGTTTAGGATATAATAATGATTTATAATTAATTTTGGAGTGATGTGGGCTAGTTTCCTCCATATCTGTGAGGAAAGGGGTAGAGAACTGGGATTGTTCATTGGAGAAGTGTTGGGGTGACCCTATTGTATCCTTCCCGTGCCTGAAGGAGTCTGCAGGAAAGATAAACTGTTTATAAGGGATGGAGGTACAGGACACAGGGAATGGCTCCCACTGCCAGAGGGCAGGGCTGGATGGGAGATTGGGCAGGAATTGTTCCCTGGCAGGGTGGGCAGGCCCTGGCACAGGGTGCCCAGAGCAGCTGTGGCTGCCCCTGGATCCCTGGCAGTGCCCAAGGCCAGGCTGGACAGGGCTTGGAGCAGCCTGGGACAGTGGTTTGAATTAAATCATCTTTAAGGTCCTTTCCCACCCAAAGCACTCCTTGACTCTGTGATGCCATGGTCAGTGCTCAGTCTGAGGTTCCAGGGAACCTTGGTGGGTACAAAAAATACACTTTTTAAGAGGGTTTGGGTAGTTTTGGGTTCTGTGCTGGTCATCTGTCACACTTCAAAGTAGAGGTTTTCATTTAAATGTTTTTCAGATGCTCCCTATCATCATTTGGGGGGGTTTGAACCTCGTGGTGTTGAAGGGGGTTTGATGTGAGTCCTTGATGTTGCTCCCAGGAGTGCTGAGCTACATTCTGCCAGACTTCCATAAATGTTGATTTTTTTCACCTCATATTTTGTTTTTTTCTGTAACCCCAAGAACTGTATTCAGTGATGGGTGATGCTGTAGAGTGCTCAGATGCTCCTGTCTCATAGTGATTTGTGCTCTGTTCTCTGGATTAGAAAGATTAAGATTCTTTTTCTTTTCTTTCCCTTTTATGGGGGGTTAAGTCTGTCCAGTCCAGCCCTTCCAACTCCAGCTCCAGCTCCGACTCCAGCTCTGATTCTGATTTCGAGCCATCTCAGAACCACAGTCAAGGTGTGTTGCAAGAACAGTTTGTTAAAATCTTCCTTGTGTGACCTTAAAAGGCTCAGGAGAATCAAATGTGCTTTTCCAGCACTATAATAATACAGTTTCTTGCATGCAGCCATGTGTTGGAGTTGTGATGCTTCAGCAAGAAAAGGCAATAATGTTATAACATCATGAACAAGTATTTTTCTTCTCTTGGCAGCTAATTTATGAGTAGGGAATCCCTCTGGATTTGGTTCTTTCCCTTTTGGCTTTGATTTCTGCCTCAGTTTATAAATGTCTCGCTGCTGCCTGATCTGTAGAATCACCAGAACAGTTCTCCTCCAATCTCATCTATGTTTTATTAAAAATTATAAATGTGCCATTCATCACTTTGCCAGTATGTAACAGCTCCTTTCTCAGATCCCTCCACTGATAACCCAGAGAGGGAAACTGGCAACAGTAAATGTTCGAGTGCAGCAAATGCTGTACTGCTCCTGTCTCCTGTGACATTTAAATCAGCCCCACAGGCATGAAAAATGTCCTTTTGTTCTCATCTGGGAAGGGAGGGGGAGGCTTTGGGAGGGGAGGTAAAGTTTGTCAGCTCTGCTTTAGCTCCGAGCCTGCCACAGGGTGTCCTTTGCCAGTCCCACCTGGCTGGGAGTCAGGAGGTGTCGGGTTTGGCTGGGTGGGGTTGTGCTGGTGTGTCCTGGTGCTGAATTCTCTCCTCCCCTGTCCCAGGCCCGCTGCGCTCCATGGTGGAGGATCTGCAGTCGGAGGAGTCGGATGATGACGACAGCTCCTCAGGAGAGGAGGCAGCAGTCAAAGCAAACCCCGTCAGCCGGGATTCCAGGTGGTAACAAATCCAGAGCAGGGGCCTCTGGGGGCTCTTCACCCGCTGCATTTGGCATTTGAGGGTGCTCTCCATTTGGAGGGAGGAATCAAAGGGCCAGGGCTCTGTGTGGGAGGGAAGGAGGGGCAGATGTGGGGACACAGAGGTGGTGACAGCAGGGTTGGCTGAAGAGCACAAAGAGAGGAAGGTACTGGGAGGTGCTGAGCTGTCAGGTGTCAGTGACTGAGCCCCTTCAGTCACCTAATTGTGACCCTCAGAGCTCTGCAGAGCTGCTGGAGTGTGACACCTTTGATCTGCAGAGATTAGGGATCTGTGGGGGCAGGCAGAGTGTGTGCTCAGCTGCCTGGGGCTGACAGGGCTCAGGAGTCACTCTCTGCCCTCCCTGTGTTGGCTGCTCCACTCCTCTGGACTCAGTGAGAGTTATTTCCTGCTCCAGACTCTGGAAAGAGTTGAACTTCACCTTCTTTCCTCAGGAAATGCTGTTACTGCCCAAACCTGGAGTCTCAGTGAATATTTGAACCCAAATGCTTGGCCCAGAGAGCAGCTGCACATTGGAAATGCTGGTGGTGGTTACCAAAACAAACAAATACCCATTATTGCACTTGTCATCATCAAGGAAACAATAATGGAGGGACTTTGAAGGGTATTTTTGTAGGTATTTTATCCCTTTAGGAGATAACCAGTTTAGTTCACTGCAGGTAGGATACCTGCCATATCTACAGGGCCAAAGAAGAAGGAAAACAAGTAGGAAATCTTAGAGGTTACACCAGCAGGAACACAAAATGCATTTTTTTGCCTGTGGAGGTGTCAGTGAGCATCTCATGCAGGTGCTCTGTAACACTGGGAGGCATTTCTGAACAGCTGCTGTTTGTGAAATGAAGTGGTGCTTAGTTGTTCTAGGGGATTTGTGTATGGCAGAGTTGAACTGCTGCCTGCAATGTGTCACCTAAAGCTCCCTGCTCTGGGACTGCAAGGTGACAACAGCTGGGAAAAAATGGGATTCTTGGAATCTCCAGCGACCCATTCTCCCAGCCAGTGCAGTAGTCTGTGATAAAAAGAGAGTTTCACTCAGCTCTGTGTGGCTCAGCTGGCAGCTGATGATGAGTTTGCTGCTGCTGGTGATGCTCATTCTGTGCTGGTGGTTTTTCAGACTGAGCCTCAGTGACAGTGACAGTGACAACAGCGCTGACTCGTGCCCGCCCGCCCGGGAGCCGCCTCCTGGGCAGAAGCTGCCCCCAGCCAACAACAAGGTATGAGATCCCACCTTCCCACAGCTCTGCTTCCCACCTTGCAAATTCTTACTTGCACCAGATTTGCCCTGTTCTGCCCTCAGCTGGCAGGTGATTCCTCCCTTTCCAGCACTCTGGTGTGACACCCCCGTGTTTCCTCAGCTAATTTTGGTCCTGTTGTTGTTTTTTTTTCCCCTCAGGCATCTGGAAGGAAAAGCCCAGAGTCTTGTAACAAGCCAGAGAAGATCCTGAAGAAGGGAACGTATGACAAGGTGTGTCCTGTGGAGGGGGATCTTTCATGAGGGCCTGGAGTGCCAGGACACAGGGAATGGCTCCCACTGCCCCAGGGCAGGGCTGGATGGGAGATTGGGCAGGAATTGTTCCCTGGCAGGGTGGGCAGGCCCTGGCACAGGTGCCCAGAGCAGCTGTGGCTGCCCCTGGATCCCTGGCAGTGCCCAAGGCCAGGCTGGGCAGGGCTTGGAGCAGCCTGGGACAGTGGAAGGTGTCCCTGCCATGGCAGGGGTGGCACTGGATGGATTTTAATGTCCCTCCCAACACAAACCATCCCAGGTTCTGTGATTAAGGAGCTGAGCATCACAGGATGGTTGGGCCTCACTGTGCACAAAACCACCTGAATCAGCTCAGCCTGTTCATTGTTCTGTCTCAGCAGGGTAAAAACTTGAGTTGAACAAAAACCAGATGTTGAAAGGGCAGATTTTGGAGAGTGACACTGCTGAAATTGTGTACATTAAATAACTAGAGCCCCAGGTGGTGTTCATAGGCAAAATGCTGAAATTGTTGCATTTGTTTGCCCTTTGTCTGAACCAATGGCCTGGTCACTGCTGCAGTGCTGGGGCACTTCATTAAAAGGCAGTTTCATCTGGCTTTGATCTTATAAATTAAAGATTATTTGATGCTCTGCAGGTGTAGTTGGAGCCTTTGTTTGTTCAATGAAATTCCCTCCTTCCTTGCCTCCAGGGAGGGCAGAGCAGTGTCCATTCTGTGAATCAGTTTTGCTGATACAGACCTGTTGCTGGCTGCCTAAAAAACCTAAAATTAAGAAAAAAACAAACCACTCTTACCTAAGTGCAATCAGCATGTTGAGCCTGTGAATAATCCTTCATTTCCTGTTGTGGTTTAGGTAAATCTACCTGGGAGTACAGTGCACTCCCAAGAATTTTTCCTTACCTAGATGCAGATCATTGCTCAGTAGATTGCTGGAGTTTTGGTCACTGATGCACATAATGTTTTCAGATAATTTAGAGTTAATTAGGAGAAGGCACTGATGAGGAGCTCACACTGAGGGTCACCAAGGTGAACTTCACCTCACTGAGGTCCTTA